CTCACCAAAAGCTATGAAATCTTCCATGCCTAATAGTTTTCAGTGTATTTTTCTCATCTTCAAACTAGACCCATTAGCTGAAGTATGGAAACAGTGCAGGAATTATCTGAGACAAAGACATTTTTATTTAAGTTGAAGGGTAGGATACTTAGGATTATAGATTTAGAGCAAGAGGGGAACTTAAATGTCATCTAGCTCACACTGTCAAACTCTATAAAACTAGGGCTAAAAATTAAACTGTAACTGGTAAATGTTTAACAAAATTAATAAAAATACAACATAATGTTTATTTGTGGTTTTCTAAGCCAGTATGTAGCTTGAAGTTTCTGTCTGAGTTTGACACCACTGATCTAGTTCTACTCCCCTCATTTGCAGATGAGGAGATCAAGGACCAGTTAGGTTTAGTGACTTGTAAGCAACAGAGATGGGATTTAAACGCAGATCTCCCAACTCTACCACCCTTTATTTTATGTGAGCACTCTTTTCCACCTTAATTATAAGGAAGAAGTGTTTCCTTCTGAGGAACATAATGATTAAAAACGCCATACCGTAGACAATCCTACTATCAGACTTTCATTAAGGAGTATCTACTGAAATTACTATAATACAAGACATTAAGATTTTTTTGTTGTTCAGTCTTTTCAGTCCTGTCTGACTCTTCATGATCCCATTTGGGGTTTTCTTGGCAAAGATACTAGAGTAGTTTGCCATTTCTTTCTCCATCTCATTTTACAGATAAGGAAACTGAGGCAACAGGATTGGTTAAGTGACTTGCCCAAGATCACACAGCTAATAAGTGTCTGAGGCCAGATTTGAACTCAGGAAGATGAGTCTTCCTGATTCCAGGCCCAGCACTCTTATCTACTGCGCCACCTACCTGCAAAATTTTCTCTACTTTTATAAAGTGAATCAGCTTTGTTCTTGAACGCAAATAGAAATTTCTGCACCATTGTCAACAGAGGTTAGAATGAGACGCCAAAAAAGTAAGAGTCTAGCATATTTGTAACATGCAAGAAAACACATTTTTAATGTTTTTTTTATCAATATGTTATGTTTTGGTTAGTGTTATTTCTCACGAAAACTGACAGCATATCCAAAATAATAAAACAAGTCGTTAGTATTTATTTTTCACTACTAAGGCAACTCCCAAGGTGCTCTTTTATTTGTTCTTCCTTAACACAAGTCAGGGTCCAAGTCAGGCTACACACAAATGTATCATGCTCTTTGACTTTATAGTGGGGATCATCACTAGGCAAGGGTTGTTACAAACACCTTAGCTTCCTAATCCTTGCAATGAGTTTAAAACTCCATTTACCTTGTAGTACTCTAACATAGATTTTGAACACCCCTTGGGGAAGTTATGAAGTTACGCTTTTGCTAAGTTTAATGTTTTCTCCAATTCTTTCAACTGCAGATTTCCTTGCGTAATCATCATTCGGATTATATCCTATAGAAGAAATTAAAATAGAGTCAAGAGGCACATTGAAAAAAATAAGGCAGAGTAACTACCACCCCATTATTTACAGATGGCTAAAATCTAAGAAAGAATAGGTTTATCAAACAATGTGTGACATTTCTTCCTCTTCTCTCTTCCCCCGTACTTTCTGATTCATGATTGTGTAAAAATCATTTTAAAAGTGGTGGTACCTGCTGAATAAAAATAGCCTGAAAATTTTTAATTTGAAAAAAATCAATGGACTCATTTTAAATAGAAACATATTTCCTATCATGTAAGCCAGAAATGTCAAACATGTGACCATTACAGCTCACAACCCTCTCAAGTGCAGGCTGAAACAGATAAAATTTAATTGGGAAATATTTAACAAAGTAAATAAAAATACAATAAAATCTAAAAAATATTACATTTTGAAACTAATTCAACATGTAATCTGCTAGGTTCTTTATGTATAGATTAGGGGCCCCCATTTCTGTTTGCGTTTGACACCACTAATGCAGGTAATTCCTTCAAAGAAGTAGGAAACAAAGCTTTAACAGTTAAAAAAAAAGTACTTCAAAGAAAAAAGGCACTCAAAAAATGTAGAGCCTCATAGAGAAAGGCTTAACTCAAGTGGATAGTATTCACACTAAATGAATTAAAAATTTTGATTTAAAGCTTACCAATCATTGAAAAGAAGCTGAACAGTAGTGAAAGGGGGGGCTGCTGCCACCAGGTCGAGTTCTTGAGCATCCTTACCTCTTCTGTGGCACTTTTATTTCTTTTGAATTCTTCCCTTGCCCAGTTCTTTAGATACTTGCGGTCTTGTTCGTTTGGTACCTGGCGAATTGCTTGTAAAATCTTTCTATATAAAAGGAGGACTTGTTGCCTTCTCATGAACTGTTTCAGAGAGGAGAAATTTCAATTACACCTGAACTTCTAAGTTATAGTTAAAGCTGAAAAGGGCCTTAGAGACCATCTAGTTGAAACCATTCTTTTTTTAATCAAACATTTATTTTCTCCCACCTCCCCACCAGCTACTGATAAAAATAAAACTCCTGTAACATATATGTACTGTCAAGTAAGACCAATTACCCACACTGGCCACATCTAAAAATATGTCTCAAACCCCTTCATTTTTTCATATAAACTGAGGACCAGAAAGGTGAAGAGACTTGACTAACGTCATATAGCTTGTTACAGGCAACTCTTGGCCTAAAGCCAAAATCTCCTGATTCAGTCACAAAACCACTGCTTCCTTTGGTGTCTTGAGAAGTGAAGTCAAAACTAGGTATGCTTATTCCTATTACACAAGTCTTCCATACCTTGCAACCTACTTTCTTGGACCAAATAACCCTTCCTCACTCTTCCCACACACCTATTCTGCAAAAGCCAAGTTGTATAAAGGCAACTCTAATTTTATGTACTTTTTAAAGGAGTATAAAAGCCCAGGATTCCTATCTTGGCTCTTTTGATTCTGTCTATGAAGTTGGACAAGTCATACAAGTCTGAAGGTCTCACCGTCTTTCTCAGTAAAACTTGAGACTAGATGATCTAGATTCTAGAAGGTCCCTTACTAATGATAATCTTTGAAAGATCAGTTTTTTGTAGAGGCAGTGAGGTGCACAATGCATAGAGAAGGAGCCCGGAGTCAGGAAGACCTGAGTTGAAATCTAGCCTCAGATACCCTCTACCTGTGAGACCCTGGCCATGTTGCTTCACCTATTTGCCTCAGTTTCCTCATCTGTAAAATGCAAGTAACAATAGCACCTACCTCCCAGGGCTGATGTGATGGTCAAATGAGATAAATGTAAAGTGCTCAGCCCATTATCTAGGACATAGGAAGCACTGTATGTTACCATGTTGTTTTATTATTATTTTTATTACTGTAAAGGGGCCAAGGTTCTAAACTGGCCTTTACTACTTCCACTATGTATAATCTCCGGCAAATCACTCATCCTTTCTAGACCAGCCTGGCACACAGTAGGTGCTTAATAAATGCGTGTTCCCTTCCCGTCTTATCTGTAAAATGAAAGGGGGTTTACCTACACAATCTAAATAATGCAGCTCTAGAGCCCCTAAAAATGAGACATCCTAACATTAACTGTGACCTGCCCCCCCAACGTAGTTAAAATCAGTTCTCAACCTTTTTGATTTCAAGACCCACCCTTAAAAATGACTGCGTATCCCAGAGCTTTTGTTTCTGTGGGTCATATCTATTGGAGATGTTTACTCAGTCTTTGTGTCTGCAGTCAAATCTTTAATTCACAGTTCACATAATCTCTGGAAAACTCCATATATACTTATGAGAAAATAAAGGTGAAAAAGGCAAATAACGTTTTAGTGTCATTATGAAAATAGTTTTGACCTAGGAATCCTCTGAAAGGGTTTCGGGGACTTCCAGGGGTCCCTTGGGAGGGGTTTGGAACCCCTGGTACAGCACCAGAGCTGGAAGGGACCTCAGAGGGCATCCAGAACAACCTCTCCCCCTACCCTTTTATAAAAATTTTAACAGAAGAGGAAACTGAGGCCCAAGGAGGTCGAGTGACTTGCCCTTGTCACGTAGGGAATATGCATTAGAGATGAATGGAACCCAGGATCTTCTGATTCCAGAGTCAGGGCTCGTTCCCTGGCACCACACTGCCTCCCATGAACCTCCCAACATTCAGTTTTAAGCTGCAAAATGGGGGTGGGAGGGGGCACCACCTACGCTAAGGAGCTTAATGTGAGCAGTTCTCTGTCCTACGACTCCGAGGAGAGCACGAGCACGGACACGAGCACGAGCACGGGTACGAGCACAGACAAGAGCACATACGCCCCCTGCCGCCAGCCCCGAGCACTGGCCCGACGGAGGCACACGCAGGACAGAGGAACAAACAAAAAGAGGGGAAGCGAGGGGAGGGCGGACCACGAGCAGCCAGCGCTGGGGTCGGGGCGCAGGGGCCCCGCGGGTACCTGTTTGAGGGTTAGCGCTACAGGGGGCAGGAGATTAGAGGACATGACGAGTCCGAGAGCCGGACTTGAACTGCCTCAAGCGCCTTTTCCCGGTGCCTCGGCGATAGTGCGCAGGAGCGGAAGCGCGGTTTAGCCGCCGGTTAGGCTCTCGCGAGGGACGCAGGAACAGCAGGCGGGGGGAGGGGGAGAAAAGGAGGAGGAGGGAGGGGGAGGAGGAAGTTGGTGGGCTAGGGGGGCGGAGGCGAAACGAGGCGGGAAGCGAGGAGCCGAGAGGGAGAGGGACCGGGAGAGAGGGTAAAGACTGGAGGGGTCGGGGAGAGGGAAGGGGAAGGGCCGAGAGAGGAGGGGGGAGGAAAGGGAGGGACTGGCGTAGGGTCCTAGGCCGCGACGAAGAGATGGGGCAAAGAGACAGTGGGCGGGGCGAGCCTCGTTCTGGAACCCCGCGGGTGTTCTAACTTAGAAGACTCTCATTCAAGGCCCCGGGCCACAAGCTATCGACCTCGATGTATGCGGAAGGCAAAAAGCCAGGCTCAAGTACCATCGTGACTGACCCCGTGTGAACCTTTTAGTGACCCCACGCAACTCAAGGGTCCTTGAACTTGAATATAATTTTTTTTAATTACAAATTTATTTTCACTAACCTAATTGAAATTTAGCATTTCCTTTTATAAGTTAATTAATTAAAACCAATATTTTTTCTGAGAAGTGGTCCATAGGCTTCAGCCGTCTACCTAAAGAGGTCTAGGACACACATACAAAGGTTAAGAACTGCCCCTAAGTTGCAAAGAATCAAGTATTAATAAACTACTCTTCGCTCTTGTACAAAAGAATGAAACAAACCTGTACTGGCTTATATTGTAATGGAGAAGACAAGAAACAAATATAGCATAAATGTAAATTATATATAAATTATATAAATACAATTAAATACAAGATTGTTTGGAAGGAAGTGAACTAGCAGTTCAGGGAATCTGGAAAGTTTTCGAGAAAATGGTGCTTGAAGATTTAAAAAAAATATGACGCTTATAAAGGAGTGCATACAGGTATGTGGGATGCATCCTGCAAAAGGCACAGAGGAGGGTCCTGTTTGGGGAACAGCAAGTTTGCCTCAATCACAGATTACAGGAAGGGTCATGATGTACATTCTAGAAAGATAGTTTAGGGTCAGGTTGTGTATGGATTTAAAAACTAAACAGAGGCCAGTTTACATTTATAGAGAGATTTCCTCAGTGGGAGCTTTTGACAGGAGTGAAATTAGCCTTGGCAAAAAAGATCAACCTTTTGAACACAGACTGGAGGGGGAAGAGGAGGATGTTAAGGAGTTCTGAGATGGAGAATGAGGAACAGGAAGCTCATGGTGAATGGGTTGTGATGCATTGGGTATACAGACAGCCCCTCTTTTGTTTCTTGCTCACATCCCCTCCAGTCTTCTCCAGCAGATTGTGAGTCCACAATCAACCGTTCTCCAATCTTCAATCTTATACTATCTACAGCCTCACTCACTGCCACTCACATACACAAAATGAGGTCTCCTGCATCCTTAAAAAACCTTCCAAAGAACCCTGCCATTCCTCAGACTATCTACCTATTTTCTCTTTTACCTCTCACAACCAAACTCTTAAGAAAAAAGCTGTCTATATCTGTCGCCTCCATTTTCTCTCTTTTCTCACTTCTCAACTCCTTTCAATTGAGCTTCAGACTCCACTAAACTGAAAGGCACTCTCCAAAGTTAGCAATGATTGCTGTTGCCAAATACTATGACCTTTGCTCCCCCTTCAGTCTTCTTGACTTCTGTTTGATACTGCTGACTACACTTTCTTCTTGGATATTCTGACCCTTCTAGGTTTTCCTGTCACTGTTCTCTCTTACTTGTATAACTTCTCTTCAGTCTCCTTTACTGGCTCATCATTCACTTACAAACTTATAATTGTGGGTATATCCCAAAGCTCTGTGGTAGGTTCTTTCTTTCTTTACACTTTTTCTCTTGGTAACTTCATTAATTCCTATGGGTTCAGTGATCATCCTTATACAGATCTATATATTCTTAAGTCCCTGTGTGGTCTTTTCACTCTGAAAGACTTTCCCATTTCTGAGAGGTTGAGACCCCTCAAAGACTGGAGTACAGGATGGGGTCGTCTGGAATGAATTCACAGACTCGAGCATTCTTTAAGTCAAGGTGGCAAAGATTTAGTTATGCTTTTCATCGGGCAAGGATTCTTAAGGAACCTGAAAGAGACTGAGGATGGAGCTAGGGTTTATACGGAAAAGGGCATGGGAAAGGAATGCCAGGGATACCGATTAGGTAATCCAAAGGTCCAGGTGTCTTTGAGAGCTATGGATGGGAAAGTACAGGGAGTATACCAGACAGGGAGGGAGATGACAGAGGTATGGATCTTGGGAGTCTGGCAGGAGAAAGAGTCCTTGGGCCAGCCAAGGACAAAACTCCCTCTCTGTCTTAATGAGAAAATGCTCTGCAACAAGGGAAAGCTTTCTCACAAGACAGGAACTTGCTAAGGAATTGGGAAGCTTCCAGAGACATGATCTGAGGGCTGGGGCCTGAGCAGCCCAACACTCCCTCACCCAGCTTTGTGTAGCTGCACCAGGAAGAGAGATAAGGGTCTTGCTGAGGCCCATGCATGAATAACTGCTAGGCACAGTGTGCTTGGGCTGGGGAGTGATTGTCAGAGACAGTATTTCTGAGACTAGGGAAATTGGGGTCCAAATACAAGCACAAGCACAAGCACCCGAGCACCACATCCCCACTATTCAGGAACTCCTCCCTCTTTGGTCAGAACATACATTTCAAGTCACGTTCACTCATTCATTCCTTTCAGGGGTCTGTCGTTCTCCACTTAGCCCTTAGGCAGGTACCTTCTCTTTCTCGGTTTCCTCCCCCTTTGTTTTTCAACTTTCTTTTGTGTTTTCTTCATGTTAGAATGTAAGCTTCTTAACAGCAGGGGCTTTCTTTTTGCTTCTCTGTGCATTCCCGGCACTTAACGCAGTGCTAGACACTCAGTAAATGGTAAATAAATATTTGTTGAGTTGCATACTTAAGCTCCCCTCCTCATCTTCAGTACCACATCACCAAGTGCCCATTGGACATTTCAAACAGAATACATGTCCTGTAAAGATCTCAAACTCAATCACGTTCAAACCAGAAGGCATTATCTGCTCCCCTCTCACCATGCACTCCTCTTCCAAACCTCCTTATTTCTATCAAGAAAACCGTAATTTTTCCAGTCATCCAAACTTATAGCCTTCTGAGTCATCATCTCCCCTTGTTCACATCACGTCCAGCCATTGGCTAACTTTTGCTTCTGCCCCATGGCTCTCAAATACATCTCTCTACTCATACAGCCACCAGCCTAATTCTGGCCCTCCTCACTGCATATATTGTTATATGCACTTGTCCTCCCCGTTAGAATGTAAGCTCACTGTTGTGGGGAGTTTCATTCTTTGTATTTGTATCCCTAAAGCCTAGCACAGTATATAGCACTGTGTGGGCACTTAATATTAATTTAGTCACTGATTCTCACCTAGACTTGCAACATATTGCCTGAATCTTCCTGCTTCAAGGCTATCTCTAATCCATGTTCCACACACAGCCAGTGATACTCCTAAAGCACAACTCCAAGCATTTCACTCCCCTGCTCAAGATCTATTGGCTCCCTACTGCTTCTGAAATCAAATACTGTACAAACATCATTTAAACCCCTTTATAACCTGGCTGCAACCTGCCTTTCCAGGGTCATTACTTATTATTCCACCTCATATTCCTTACAGTCTGTCAGATGGGCCTCCTTAATATACAGGGTACTCCATTCATTGTTCTTGTGACTGCACTTGCTGTGCCATTCCCTCCTACCATGTCTGAAATGCACTGCTTAGAATCCCCTGGCTTTCTTCAAAGCCCAGTTCCTAAGTACAACCTTCTACATGTGGCCTTTTCAGCCATGATACTCCAACCCCCAGCTACCAGTTCCTCCCAAAATTACCTTGTAGATATTTTGCATATGCTGATATGGATATAAACTGTCTTCCCTGATAGAATGTAAGTTCATTGAAAGCCAGTTCATTTGGGTCTCTATCTTTAAAGCTTAGCATAGTACCTGACATCCAGCAGGTAAATACTTAGTAAGTGAATATTGATTGATCCTTCACCTAGAAGATGGTCATCTACCTGAGAGCCAATGTGGCTTCAGAAAGGGCTGAAATGGTGTTTGTTGCTTGACAACTCCAGGAGCAGAACAGAGGCCTGTGCACAACATCTGTCAATCTAATAAAGGTCTTTGATACTGTCAGTTGTGAGGACTTGTGGAAAATTGGGCAAATTTTGGTTCCCTGGAGTACACCAGTATTGTACATCAGTTTCATGACAACATACTTGCATGGGTTCTGGATAATGGACAATGCTCTCTCACTTTCCCAATCACAAATGGAATGAAGCAGAGCTGTGTGCTTGTTCCCATGCATGATGTTTTCTGTGATGTTGTCGGAGGCCTCCACCAAGGGTAAAAACAACATTTACTACACTGATAGTAAATTATTTAACTTGAAAAGGCTACAAGCCAAGACTGAAGGGGAGAGTTGGTGTGTGACTTCTTCAAAGGTGATTTGCACTCAATACAGCCTCTGAAGTTGAGATGCAACAAAATATGGCTCAATTCTCCGCTGCCTGGAGAAATTTTGAATGCTATAGAGAAGTTCACTTACCTTGTTAGTATACTTTCTGGGGATGTACACATAGATGATGAGGTTGTTGACACATGAGTTGCCAGAGCTAGTTCAGTGTTTGGGAAGCTCCAAAAGAAAGTGTGGGAAAGAAGAGATATTAGACTGTCTACCAAACTGAAGGTATACAGAGCCACTGTGCTGACCTCATTGTTGTACGCCTGTGAAACCTGGACAGTATACCAGCACCAGGCCAGGAAACTGAATGACTTCCAGTTGTCTTAGGAAGGTTCTAAATATCACCTGGCAAGATAAGGTACCAGACACTGAGGTCCTTTCTTCAGCTGAACTGCCAAACATTCAAACTACTGCAGAGTGCAACCCCAGTGGGTGGCCACATTGTTCAAATGCCAAAGGTATGTTTGCTTAAAAGACTTTCACAGATAACTGATACAAGGCAGGCAATCACATGAAGGCCAGAAGTGATTATAAAGACATTATCAACGTATCTCTGAAGAACTCTGGAATGGATTGTGAGACATGGAAGACAAAATAGATTTGCAATAGCTCAAAGGAAACATGAGATGCAAATTTAGAGACCTGTCTACTCCAAATGTTCATATGGACTATTTGTGCCCAACCTGTGGTACAGCCTTCTGAGCTCATATTGATTTGATCAGCCAGTCGGACACATTGTACTTTGACCCCGACATAGTGATGTCATTTTGGACCTCTCTGAGAACAAAAGACAACAACCACTGATTGATTAATAATGGCATAATCTCTTATTTCCCTAGCATCCTGGTCTTCCATTCCTTTCCTCCATCCATTCATATTGTGTAAGGCACAGCTAATTTGTAGCGTACACTAAAATTAGGGACTTGCTCTATTTATTCCCTCACTTACTAGGAGTGACATTGAGAGATACATAGAACTTAGTAGGGAAGGCACAGAAATATAGTAAAATGCAGTAACTACATACTATATTGGTAGCTAGGTAGCACTACATATAAAGAGCTGTACCTGGAGTCAGAAGTCTCCAGTTCAAATTTGAGCTCAGACACTTTTTAGATGTGTGATCCTGGGCGAGTCACTTAACCTGTTTGTCTCAGTTTCCTTATCTGTAAAATGGCTTTCACAGTACATCCCATGATTGTTGTGAGGATCAAATGAGATAATTGTTAAGTGCTTAGTACAGTGCTTGGCACACAGTCAGCACTATATAAATGTTAGCTGCTATTATCATCATCATTTTAAAAAGCAGTTCACAGAGATGATTTTCAGCTGGAGTGGGGAGAGATGGAGGAATAGGATCAGGGAAGATTCCATAGAGGTTGCGTCTGACCTGAATATTTTAGAATGGATAGAATAAATTACACATTACTTAGCACCTTAAGTTTTACAAAGCCCTTTCCTCACACCAATGCTGAAAGGTAGTGCCAATATTATTTGCATTTTGTAGGTCAGGAAACTGAATCTTTTGAGAAATTTTAAGTGATTTTGCTTAAGGTCACACAGATGTTAGGTACTTGCTAGAGCTAGGGTTTGACATTAGGTTTCAGGTTCCACCTCCTGAGATTGCCCCGTCATTAGCACCATCCCTTTTGCAATTAGTTTGTGTTTGCTTACTTGCATTCATGCCGAAACTCCTCAGAGAAGGCAAGATCATAGAGGGTATTTTTTTTTTTGCATCTCTAGCAATATTTGTTGAATTGAATTCTAATAAAATTGAAATGTTCTTGGATCCAGACTTGATTTTCCTGGATTTTATGTATTAGCAGGTTTGATTAGCATGCCACATATGCCTTCATCCAAGACTTTGATAAAAATATCAAATAGCACAGAGCCAAGAACAGATCCCTACGCACTCCACTAGAGAATTCCCACGTTAGCACTGACCCATTTGTATCCACCCTTTGTGTTGTCAACCAGTCCCACATCCATTTAAATGTACATTACTCCACCTTGTCCCCAAAGATAGCATGAGACACTTTGTCAATTCATATACAGAATGACAGAACTAGTATAAAGGTTAATAGGCTAAAACAATGGGCCAAATCTAGTAAGATGAGATTTAGTTAAGTATGAACGTTGTCTTACTCCTTGGGTTTCTAAGATAAATTGCACAAATACAGGCTTAGAGAGAGGTGTCTAACAGCACTATGTGATGACAAAAACCTGTTTGGTTTTTTTTGTGGCTTGTATATTTAATATGAATCAACCATGTAAAATGGCAACCAGAAAATGATTTTGACGAGCTTATATTAGAAGTACAGAATCCAAAACAAAAAAGATAGATGGTCCTGTTGTACTCCTTCCTTGTTCAAACCTTATCTGAGTGAGTACTCTTGTCTAGTTCTAGAGAACCATATTTTAGGGGAAGGTTATTAACAAGCTACATCCAGAAAGCCAACTGTAAGGGCAACTGGAAACTGTCATATGAATACTAGCTTAAGACCTCTGGAATATTTAGTTTGAAGAAGAATGAGTGAGGCAGGGAAGAGAAATGACACACAATTACTGTAATCAAATCTTTGTAGGGCTATAGTGTAGAAATTGAGATGACTTACTCCACTTGGCCACTGAGGGCAGAAATAAAGACCAATAGGGAGAATTAGAGGAAGAGGGATTACAGTTCAATAAAAGAAAGCATCAGAATTAGAACTCTGCCCAAAGTGGAATTAGCTGTGACTCAGGGGATGGAAAATTCTCTATCATTTTAAGTCTTCCTGAATAATCACTTGTTGGTCATGTAATAGAGATGACCCATGCTTCATGAAGGGGTCTGACTAGATAATCCATTCTTGGGGCTTGCCATTTCTCGTTTTCAGTAATAGGTTTTCTCATTCCAACATTATCAGATTATAGCTTTCCAGCCATCTTCTTTAAGGAAAAAACTGGGCACAGAAGAGCACAGAAGACGAAGGCCCAGGCCTCATATAGTTCATAAGCTAAGAATCTATCCGGTAGGGATTTGTCTGTAAACAACCTATTTCTCCTAGAAAATTCCATGTTTGCTAGCTCCTTTACTGGTGACTCATGTTATAGTTGTAAATCGGGGCAGCTAGATGGCTCAGTGGCTAAAGCTCCAGCTTTTGAGTCAAGAGGACCCGAGTTCAAATCCGGCCTCAGACACTTGACACTTACCAACCCAACTGTGTGACCCTGGGCAAGTCACTTAACCCCGACTGCCTTGCCAAAAAAGCTCTCTCTCTCTCTACACACACACACACACACACACACACACACACACACAGAGTTATAAATCATGCTAATTCTCTCAAACCTTTCCTGGGAAGTAACTTCCTTCTAAACCAGTTCTTAACACTGCATCCCTCAGATTCCCACTAGCATCTTTTGCTACTGTGATCCAGCATAGCTGTAAATTTCAAATCCTACATTTAACATTTACTATGTGACCACTGCCAAGTCACTTAACTCTTATAAGCCTCGGTTTCCTCAGCTGTAAAATGAGGATTTTAATACCTGTAATACCTACTTCACAGGCTTGTATGTAAAATGAAAGCTTATATAAATGTCAGCCATTTTCATTTACTAATTCTCAGTGGGTGACCTGACACAGATTTCAGTCAACCATACCTAATTCCATTAAGAATGGCTATGAGTTACATACAACAGTAATACATCTTTTTATTTTCCAAGAATAGAAGCTGCATAGCTTTTGCAATGAAAAACAAAAAATCATGTACATGCTTTAGGACACTTGGTTAACCAACAAATAATCTGCCTTTAATGACCACCTCAGACAAGTGGCAAACTTCACAGTGTCAAATACATACATAAAGGTATTCATATCATGGCATGTTTACTACAAAATATCTTTTTGACATCAGACACCAGCAACATTTAAAAATTGTTATTAAATAGAACAAAGAACACAATTTCAAGTATTCAAGTACTGTTTTTTTGGCTGAATAGAAACCCTCCCAAGAACCATGAACATGTTTTGACTGCAAAAATAAATTCAGCTGCTCAGTATTTCCCAAACACAGCACTTCCTTAGAAATAAGCCTGGTTCCTCACTGCTCAAAAGTAGCATGAGGAACCTGCTTCTCCTATCACATCCTCCTCCCCAACAGTTAAGAAAAATATCAGCTAAAGAAATAAATTACTACAACAATGGTGGTAAACAATGGCACTGAGATATTGGAAAAAAATAAAGCAACAGGCAAAAATAACCTTTTCATCATTGCATAGTAGCTTACAGTAGCAAATGGGAGGGAGCAGCAAAGACGGGACACAAAAACCCATTTCCACAAGGCCTAAAAACTGCTGTGAAAGTTAACTAGAATCCACAGTGCTTAGATAGGATACAAAAACACAGAAAGCACATGGCATCTCCCTTCTAGGACAGTTCATTCCCTTCACACTAATTCTGATAAGAAATGGTCTCTTATCCTCAAAACCCACCAGCCTAAATCAGTTGTCTCAGTCACTTAGGATTGGTGAATGCATGACGCAGGCTTATTAAGGCAAAGCTGCAACAAAGAAAAGGTGGAAAACACAGCTACTCTTCTTCCTGCTATTGGGGAGAAGCTGATTAGCTCTCCTGTCTACACTCAACCCCTCCTGTACATTACTGACAGCTGCTCTCCAAGGCTGCTGCCAGTACTCCTTCCCTAGAAAATCCTCCAAGCTTGTTTTCAGCAGAGAAGAGTAGGGATGCTTGAGAAAATGGATGGTGCAAGAGCTTTGGGACAATGATATGATGTCCTCATGAGCAATAATGATTCCAGGGCAGGTATGTGAACATGGCAGAACACCTCTAAGAATTCACAGGTGAGGCTATACTGAAAACAATGTTTCTACCAATGCCCTAACTACATTTCCCCCTAGGCTCACGTGTACCATTCCCAGAGAGAAATCCTTAGATTCTGATGTAGTGTTATTAAATTAAAAGGTAAATACTGACTATTTTAAGCACTGTAGCCAAAACTGTGAGATCTTGTAAATAAGCTCTGGGTTCACTGAAGAACAAGGATCCAAGAATGTCACACATCTGAAACTTCTTCAACTTGAGAAAGAGCTATCCAACTGGGAGCATCTGGTAACAAGGAATGTTGTTCTAACTATGCTACAAATGAAGAGCTGGCTTCAGGCTCTGCTGTCAGGTTTTAGGGCCCATCAGAAGCTGTCACCAGCTCAAACCACTGCCTGAGGGCATCGCCAAGTGTCTCAGGAAGTGCATTCACATCTCGAAGGATTAGATAGAAGGGGAAAGGGAACTCCTCCATGTAGGAATGAATTTCCGGCAGTTCTCCTGGTCCTTTGAATATTGGAACTTTAATGTCCAAGATGGAATCCTGCCAGTATGAACAGAAAGAAAAAAATATGAATGATGTGAGGCATATTTGATGTTATTTCCTTGCTTTTTTGAAAACAGAGACAAAATGAGCTTTAAAACTGCTAAATACAAGGGAGAGGATTGTTGTCAAGGATTGATACATCATAGGAAGAAAACACTCAGAATTGAAGGCTGGATCACTCAAGTTTCATCAGTCACAACTGGCTCTTGATTTGAGAACTTTAGAATTTCCCAAACTAAATTCTTGGACAGTAAAGTGGCCTTTATTTCTATTAAATAATAATTTCTTATTGAGGAGAAGGCAGATCTCTAAGTACTTTAGGATCCTTCACTCCCTAACACTCAACCATTCTAAACCTACTAATCTGTATCACATGGATGGGTAACCCCTATTTCATCCAATTTCCCTAACTCCTGCAGGAATCCTGTCAGTCATTAAAATTAACATGTTTTCAGCCACTATAAATTTATGATGAATAAATTCACCTAGGTTCTCACAATGGCTCAATGAACTGTTTCAAATATTTTCTCTTCTCTGAAAACACTGAAATAGCAGATGATTTGTTTCCCTTTTCATTGAGAAGACAGAGACCATCTGATGTCAACTAGAGTATTCTACTGCTCAAAATGTATCAACACCACTGTTCATTCTGACATTCCTTCTGGTCCTATACTCTGGATCCCATTCTGTCTCATCTTCTGCAGTCAACCCCTCCATTTCATGCATCTTCACTATCTTCCTTTCCATCTACTTACATGTTTAGGTCTCTGATATCCTAAAAAACCCTCAGATTCACCCTTTGATTTTACCCAACTATTCTCCCAACTCTCTTCTTCCCATAGCTACTGAACTTCTGGAAAAAAATTATACCCAACACTTCACAATGGCCAGCAATGACCTGCTAATTCCTAAATTTAACGGTCTTTTTCCAGTCCTCACCCTCCCTTGATCTCTACAAAGTATGGAAAAACTCCACCTGCTGATTAACTCCATGCTCACTTGGTGTCTAGAGACACTAACTACACATTCATGGCTCTCTTCTAATTCTTGAATCATCTACTCTTTCAATCCTCTCTGGGTTCTGCCCCTGACTCTGGACTTTCTCCATCATTCCCTAAAGGCTTTCTCACCTTGAAAGATCCCTCCACCTGTAACACCCTCCCTCCCCCACTGGCCAATTCCCTTGGAACATCCATTTTAAGGAAGCACCCAGGACAGCAATGTTCACTCCTTCCTTCCTCTCCAGGCTTCACTTCTGTGGATTTTCTTCTCCACATCCTGCTGCCACCTCAGCAGGAGCACTGTCCTTATCCATTAAAAAGTAAGCTTCTTGAGGGCAAGGACTGTGTTTTCATTTTATTTCTACTGCTTAGCACAGTGTGCCATACATAGTAAGCAGTTATTAAGTGCTTTAAAAACAAAACCAATCCTTTGCTGGTGAAAGTGGATATTCCCCAAAGTTCCATCTTTGGTCTCTCTTCTTTACTCATTCTATCCCTTGGCAGTCTAATTTAACCCCATTCATTTCCACTACAAACTATGAAGATGATTAACTCCAAACATCTTTCTCCAAGACCAACCTCTCTTCTAAACCCCAAGTCTTCATTTTCAGCTATTCACAGGACACCTCTAATTAAATGTCCTCTTCTTGCCTCAAATAACATATCTGAAATATAGATTACTATCCTCTCCCCTGATCCTACTTGCATGTCTGGATTATTACTGCCGCCTCTTACTCCTATCTCCAATCTATCATACCAACATTAGACTTACCTCATCTTGTCCCTCCTTTCTGCTCAAATACCGTCAAGGGCCCCTACTGCCTCCAGAGTAAAATTACAGTTCTATCTGGCCTTCAAAAGCCTCCACTATCTGGGAGCAATCTACTTTTCAGTCTTTTTCTTCTACTAACTACTACTACCTACTACTATCTCCTACTACACCTCTTCCTCCTCCTCTTCCGACTACTACTTCCTGCCTCATATTCTATGGTCTAGCCAAACTGAACTACTTTCTGCCAAACATGCTCTGTATGCTCCTGATTTCATGTCTTTGTTCATATAGTTCACTATGCTTGGAATTTCTTTCTTACCACTCTTCACTCTAAAGTCTATTTCAACTGTTGCTTCCTGCACAAAGTCTTCTCTGACCATGCCCTTGGGAATAGTTTCCTCCTCCCAGTTTCAGAGCTCTCATTTTCTACCTCTCTAACTTACCACTGTTTCATATATTTTACTAAGAGCCACCTGTGTCCCCCTGACCCCACAGCAAACTTCTGATTTTCCATCTAGTCACAAAGTAGAGACCCTTACTCCTTATACTAAGGTTAGTCCTATTTGCCCCCTTGATGACCTTCTTACACATCTTCTCCAAGACTTTTTAAGCTCCATGAAGGCAGGATCTGCAGGTTATTTAAACTTTACATCTCCAAAAAAGAAATACTCTAACTTGACAAAGGCTTGGTATAGGGGCTCTCAGCACATCAGGCAATTAATATATATGCTGAATGATGACTGAATGAATATAAAAAATCCTATAGTTAATGAAGCACTAAAGTGAAGGAGAAACACTATTTCATGGCAAAGTTATTTTAAATTCTCAATTTTCTAGTGGCAGCTAGGTGGCGCAGTGGATAGAGCAACTGGCCCTGAAGTCAAGAGGACCAGAGTTCAAATCCTCAGACCAAACACTTGACACGTACTAGCTGTGTGACCTTGGACAAGTCACTTAACCCCAACTGCCTAAAAAGTAAAATTTAAATTTAAAAAATTCTTAATTTTCTTAAAATGTATTACTTTAACCCCCAAAAAAATCCTAGCCACACACTTTAGCACAATTGATGTATAGTGCTTGAAACAAATCATACTTTTGGTATTGTATGCTCATTGCCATTAGATAGATCATCACTGATATCAATGCTAGTAAATGAGGAAAGGAGTAATAAACATTTTCAAGTGTGTTTAAACCCATCTTCAAGAAACTAGACTAAAGTTTAAAGTAAGTTCCTTTAAGGCAGAGCTTGTTTCACTTTAGTCTTCCAATCTAGTATACGGTATAGCTATCAGATTTAATTGAAGGTATAAAACCAAAATCCACTTTACAAGGATCAACACGTACCATTCTTCTCATAGAAAAGTCACAGAAAAAAATCTGTCAAACATACACTTTCCCTTTAGCATCCACTTACCCGAGAAGTGGGATTATCCAGTATGACAAAGATGACAAAAATGTTTGCACTGCGGGCAGTCTGAACTGCTGCTCTGACTCGATCTTTACCCTCCAAGAAAAGGCCTCGGCCATCAGAGACTATGAGAAGCAGCTGGGCTGTTTCTAGGTATTAGAAGGTGCACAGGAGAAGGAACAAAATCAGTCATTTTTAATAACTCAATTACCCATATTAGGAAAAAATCTGGCAACTTTTAGAAACTGTGCCAATATTATTACAATTAAGGAGAACAATTCCGAAAATGAAGTACTATGATAGAAGAGGTACAGGCCTGGTGAAATAGATGAGAAACCTTGGAGCTTTATTTGCAGGGAAGTTACTCAGAGTCTCTACCTACCTACCAGTTGGTAGTCCTCGGCTTCCAGGCTACCAACAGTGGGGATAGCACATGTGTTTATATATCTTTGTATTTTAAAACCAGGAGATGAGGTAGAGTTGATTACAGATTAGACTCACTGGTATTGCTCCATTATTATGGAAATTTGACTTTGTGCCCAGGAATTTCCATCTTTGTCTGAAACCACCAACCCATCCACTTGAGTACTTTTTAATGAAAGGTTTCCAGAAGGGCAGATATTCAGAGGGAGTGACAGGTTTGCATGTTGTGTGGTAAATAGGGTGAAAATGGGAACAAGTGGGTAACCAGTTTACTACCAAAAAGGACAGAACTGGGCTCACCTGGACTGATATTTTGAGAGAGCTGCTGTGCAGCAGTGAACATGCTTGCTGATGATTCTAAAAACTGAGTGAATAGGAAACAGAAAAAAAAGCAAAAAATTCATATTTGTCGTTTCTTGCCCTAATGTACATAAAAGACTTTAACCCCTAAGGGGCCTGTATTTCTTGACTACAGATGATGAAATAGAAACCTTCCACCCCATCAAGGCTAGAAAGCTTCAGAAGCTGCATCATGGCATCAATGAATTTCCCAGGCTTGGCCAAGATAAATGGTAGGAAATAATGCTTGGGGTTCTGTAAAGGATAGCCCAAGTGTAACGTATGTGAGGGACATGCTCCCCCATAATTTCCAAAAGGAACAGTGAATTTGGATAAGTCAACAAAAAAAATATTCAACAACAATAACAAAGAAACTTTAAAGTCTAAAGACAGAATCTTGAATTAGAAGATGCAGAAGACAGAGTTACCCTTCACAGCAACTGCTGGATTGACCATGGCAAAAGACCTTTGGATTTTGTTTCTCCAAAACCCCAAACTGTAGTGATACCTGATCATCATCCCATCTGATGGAGTCATTAGGAACAGATAATTCTCTTTATAAAATACTCCAAAGTTCTCAAGATAAAAGTGGCCATGGCACATTAAAAGAAAAGTTCCAGACCCAAGTCTAGAACCAGTTCTATAACCCAATGTTTGCAGGTGCCAGCCACTTGATTCATTCCAGTAGATCCACTATTTAAAAAACAAATCACCTGAGGTCCTCCTTCCTTCCTCCTTCCTCTACCTCTCTCCACAAAGTACTGTGAGTTATTCAGAAGAGCAAAACATTGTGGGGGAAGAGATATTAGGCACAGAATTGTAATTATAGGTAAATTCATCCAAGGGATATTTAGAGAATTCAGAAATATAGATCAACTCCTGTTTTGACTCCAGGGAAATGTCCACATTTTTTCTTTCTATAATGGAATTTTATTTTGAATGTCAATTAAAATACAGGGAGTACTAGCTAAGGCTTGGGAACCTCTACAATTCACAGTAGTCCTGCCTATCCTACATTACTTTAAAATAGTTGATTTGAAAAAAAGAGGTGCTAGACTATGGGTGGAAAATGGTGCATATACCGTGAGACTTGGTTGATGCTGTTTGCCTTTACTGAACTGCTTTCCTTCCTCTTTTTTATTCTTTGTTACAAGGGATGGCTTGATATGTAAAGTTAAAGGTAGAGGGAGGATATTCAGAAATACGAATGACATAAAAATAAGAGACAAATTAAAAACTGAAGAAAATAACTACAAAAGACCATTTAGCCCAAATAACATTTACACTTTTCCTTCATACCTGAGCAATCTTAGTTTTCTTTTGCTGGAATTTACAGAGCTGCAGTATCCGGGTTCCTGACTGATCATTAAACTGTTCATGGAATGGATGCAGCAGCTGAACAGTTTCCCCAAAGCTTAAAGAAAAAAAAAATACACGGACTTATTTTGGGCATCTGATCTAAATAACCAAACCTCAATTTGTCTGGGTTTTTTCCTCTCCAGAAGGAAACAGCATCCTTACCTGTATACAGCAATCTGACCCACTTCCAAAAGGGCCAGAGCATTTCCAATCACTGCCAATGACTCATATGCAAGCTGTAAAAAGATACAGGAAGTTGAAGGAAGGAAGCAAACATTTATTAAGTGTCTACTATGTGCCAGGCACTGTTAAGTGCTTCACAAATATTCTCTCATTTGATCCTCACAATAACTCTAAGAGGTAGGTGCTAATATTAACCCATTTTTACAGTTGAATGAACTGAAGCAAATAGAAATTAAGTGACTTGCCCAGGGTTACACACATAGTGATAGCAAGTACACATACTGTCTGAGGCTGGATTTTAACTCAGGTCTACATCACTCAAGTCTCTGCATTAGCACTTACCTAAGATATAATCTCCAAGGAGGTAACCCAAAATATATGTTCAATTTTTGACTACAGAGGAAAACGATCTTTTGTATAGGCAGGCCCTAATCAAATCCAATTTAAGAATCAAGTATGGCCAAAAAAAAAAAAATAGAATGCAGAAACATACCTTTGCATTGTTGTACTGCAACTTTTTAATCAACATTGGTTGAAATTCTAACAACTCGACAATTTCAGTTTGGGATGTTGAAACAATTGATTTTATTGCAAAAGGCCTAAGATGACAAATATCAACTTTTCTTATAAAAGAGTACGTGTGTGTCTGTATGTTTAGTGTTACTTGTATTTATAGTACCTAACATAACTATTACAATACAAGTATGATTATTTTTCTAGAGCAACAGAGCTAGAACAAGGTTTCCAACTTCATTTCTGCTTACTTAAGAGAATTACAATGAAACACACAGATGTTTGGGGGGTGGTTGGCATAGTGACCCTTTACTAATCTGACCAAAAAAAGGGTAATGTGGAAGCATTTAAAACTTTCTGTGCTGTGAGCATGCTTCAAAAATACCTGTTCAGATTCAACTGACTAGATAAGTGATTAACAGCACAGTTTAGTTTAAAATTTATTGGATAAAGTGGTAACTGTCAAAATTACTCCAATGATCTCAAAATTGTCTGTGAATAAAAAAAATCCAAGCAGAACTTACTACTCTAAGTCAGAAGACACTTTAAATTCTGGGTCTCAATTATATTATTGCTTCTTCGATGAACTGATTACTACTATAAACAATTCACATCCACCTCTCAAGACACTGAAAAAAATTTGGTGACTGCATTATCACTCATGTACTCCTCATCGTACAAATTCTCTTACTGTCTTTCCTCTTTACCTGTTTGGTGTGGTTGTCTACCATGCTAGAGGAATCATCAATGGCCAGGCAAATCTGATATTGGCGTTTGCTGGGCTTGGTCCTTCGAAGCCAAATTTTGTCCTTCCGAAACTGACTAGCAATATACGGAATGACCTTCCTCATGTTCAATCGTTTCCCTGTTCGATAGTCTCCTCTGTGAATTTATGGGGGAAATTACATAAATATTTTAGCTTACATTAGTCCATCACTTCACTGGTATTTTTTAAAATAACAAAACCACCTTAATGTAACTTTATAAATCAAACCCAACAGTCAAGACACCTGAAGCAATCAAGGCGTCATCAGATGAGGTTGAAGGATTCAGATGATGCTGACCAACAGATAAAAATCTGAATGGGTAGACTAGATTGTTAGTCTAGTTATAGTCAAGTTAGTCATAAAATAAGTTTTGAAAAATATAAAATTTTATATAAAATAGAGTTTAAAAAAATAAACCCTAAGTTGTTTGGTTCAGTTTGATTTAGGGGAATAGGTGAGGAGAGTTGAGAAGCAGAACCAAAATCAAAAAAGAAAAAACATTCAAAGATCCTTGTTCTTGGATCCAGACCTTCATGGCTATGATTTTGGACACACCAAAAAATAACAACTCTCTTACATGAAAAGAAGTGTGATAAACATCAGCTAATGTTTCTGAACAGAGGCTAATGGATGAATTTCATGAATACCAACAAAATTCCTAGCACAAATAACAAGGAATTCAAATGATAAACTTTACTCCAAGTCACATGAAAAGAAATTCAGAATGCCAGCAATATGATGGTATGTTCTTTCCCCATAACTAGGCTATACTTTTAAGTACCCATGTGGATAGACTATAACTGCCCAAATCACCAAGTTGCCTATATACCATAGGTATGCAGGGAACTTTAATCAATTAGTTGAAAAACAACAACAACAACAACAACAACAAAAAACCTAAAACCACTTACTTTAGCTTGGCTGCCTGGGTGGGTTCCAGGATAAGTCGAAGTTGCTCACAGAGCTGCTGTGAGAGAGGGGCAGTCAGGACAAGGTACTGCTGCCACATCTCAGAAGCTGCCTTCTCCTAAGACAAAGAATAGAGAAACCTTCATTACTTGAGAGTAAATTATGATGGCACTTGGAAAGAAGCTTTGCAAAGAGTACCCTACAGAGCAATCTCTAATTTTTGCCCTGTGCTACTCAATCACTTTGCCTTGCTCTCCTCATCCCAAACACTCCATGAAGAATATGTGACCACTCAATTCTGACTGAGGGAAGGAAAAACTCCATGAGGAGGTACTAGATTATTCACATATACAAATGCAGCAACATTTGCTCTAGATGAAAGATTCCTTTTTTTAGTAGATGGGTGTTGATAATAAGAGCCAACCCCTTCAACATGGACATGTTTCCAAAAGCAAAGCTGCCAAGTAAATACAAGTACCTCCAGGAACTAACCATATAAATTAGTCCTCTGGCCACCCTACCAACATGTTTTTTCTGCTAATACAATGGACCAAGTATATTATTAGTACGTGCATGTGTGTGGTCATAATGAAGACACTTAAAAAAGATCCCAAAAAGTCATTAATAATGGCAACCTTCCCTTGATTAATCAAGAGTGTCCCATATAGGTGGACTGCTTTTACATCCTCCTCAATCCCCCCTCATTAATGCACCACCTCCTTTTGACCACTACATGCTTTATGAGTGCTTCCATCATGGGTAAGAGAAGAGAATCAAAGCAGCCTGAATAAATCAATTTTGCTATTTCTTAGTTCAGATAAAAAGTATAATGGAAAAAGAGGCTGAAATAATTGGATAAAATGGAGCTTTTAAGGTTTCAATTATCCATGCCATTGCTGTTTCCTATTACTACTGAATAGGAGGTATGAAGTTTCCTAGGTCTTTAAAACAACTGATCCATGTTGAGATTTTTAAAAAGAAGAACCCATGGAATACAGCACAGTGGAAAAACCTCTGGATTTAGAGTCAGAAGAAATGGTTTCCAATCTGGGCTCTGCCACTATAAGCTGTGTGACCTCTGACACATAGCATCCCCTCACTGGGCAGAGAAGACCAGGCTACAAGAAGTCTTCCAGTAAGATGGAAGATCCTAGTCCTTACTGGGTGCCCTGCCACAGGGCATCCCCTCTATATGTCTGGAGAATCTACCTCCTTGGCCAAGGAACTGTGAGGATCCCTGGACTTTGCCATCTATCTTGCATTGGAACCCTTTTTCATGTTCTGTCCCCCAATTAAAAGGTGAACTCCTTGAAAGCAGGAACTCTCTTGATTTTCTACTTGTGTCCCCAGCACTTGGCATAGTGCCTGGCATAGAGTAAGAGCTTAACAAATACTTTTCATACTATCATTCATCTGTAAAATGACCTCTAAAAACCCTTCTAGCTTGAAATCAATGATCCTCTGAAATCTCAGGATTTTTCATGTCAGTAACCTGGTGCTTGTCTAAAATCAATCTAAAAAAGTCACTCACTTCATCTGGGTGTCCAGGCTCTTGCTTCTGCCACGCTTCCAGCTGTCTTTCCAGCTCTTGCCTTAGTTTCCCAACATCTTTGACAATGTGCTAAGAATAGAAAGTCAGAAATTAGTTCAGTCAGGAATGGTTGTGCCCTTTGCTCCTGTCATGGGATACCTCTTCCTCAGTCTTTCCCAAAGGAAAGTCACCTTGTATACCAGAGACTTAATTTAACTTCATAATTAAAAGACACTGTGAGATTGAGCTAGATGATCTCCAAGGTGCCTTCCAAACCCATGATCTTAGCATTCTGAGCACTGCCCTCCACCTTTCTTTTTTTTGCTTCATGTCTTAATTTATAGACATAGTCAGAGATTAGCAAGGGCATATAAATTTATAAGTAAAAAAGAAAACAAAAACAGCAGCTGAGCTTTTCTGCAGATAGGACGTAAGTCAAAGGTGTCAGCATGTACACTCACTAGCTGTAAGTCAATGATTTCTCTCAGCACTGGCTAACTATACAGTGTTATCAGTAGCTATAATTGTGATGAGAACAGTAAAATTGGGCTTAAAGCCGACTCAGCCACTAAGTAAGGACTGCCTCCCTGTTTAGTTCTATAAGGAATAGGAGTAACAACCCTGTTTTGCTACTACCTATATCTCAGATAGATGGTATGAATGATCTGAAGAGCGCAACGCCTCTGATGTTATTTTAAAAAAAATTAAAAGAGGATTATCCCAGAAACAGATTTTAGAATCTAAAATAAGAGTGCTGACTGCTTCCTTGCTCCTCATATCCTATAACACCCTAGGGAGGGGCATAGCCCCTGCTACTCTACCACAATCACTACGAAACCTGCTCTCTTGATGTTTGCCACCCTTCCCACAGAATTTAATACCTGGCTCAGTCTTACTCTCTCTCAACCCCAATCCCTGCCCTCATTCTCAGGGAATTCAATATACAGATTAATGCTCCTCATTTTGGCCGCCTCAATTTTTCTATGCTCTACAACCTGGATCTCACTATTACACAAAACTATGTTCACCATGATCTTAAATTCCTGAAATTATTGTTTTCTTATTGATATTCTTTCTCTTCCTCTCTCACCACATCTCTTTTCCCCCAAACCTCCCAAATCTACTCTTCATCTTCATTGTAATTTCCAGTCCAGTCCTTCTAGTCCTCTCTCTTCTCCCAGTCCATCACCTCAATCTGACTGTTTTTCCATAGTTTTGATCCTATGAGTTGACCAGTTTAACTAGAGGATTTAAACCTTGAATCCTCTGCCCCTTTATTCTATTACTCTTGATGCCCTGCCAAAGCCCAACTCTGGGTTCTCCTCACCATCTATCTTCTTCACTCAGCGCTGGTCAAAGTCACCAGCCCACTGACTGAGTCCTCCCTGATGCACAGTCCTTTTATTCTTCCCTAGCACACATTCCACAATGGCTATTCCAAACCTTCTCACCTCTCCTTAAACTCCCTATACTGTCTCTTTCTTCCTCCTCAGCAGAGATCTTTGTCTCTTAATACACTGAAGAAAGAGATTATTTGCTGTGGTTTCCTCTTCTCCCTAATACACCGTAAAAGTCCTCAACATCATCTCCCATTCTGTCGTCTTCTGCTCCAGCCTCTGAGGAAGAAGTAGCCCTCTGCAGGCCAAAGCCAGCCCCTCGAGTTGTGCCTCTGACTCTCTACCTTCAAAAAACCCATTCCCTCTCATCTTCAGTCTCCTGCTATCTCCCTGGACCTCTTCTCTACTGCTACCAGTCCTACTGCTCAACTGAAAGTGCTCTCTCCAAGTTTCCCAAAAGTCTTAACTTCATTGTCCAAAGGCCTTCCCTCGATCCTCACTCTAACTGAATGCTCTCCAATTTTTCATACTGTCCACCACCAACTTCTCTTCGTTACTCACTTCTATCCTGGCTTCCTAACACTGCTCCATTAGTTTCCCCCTCTATCTACATAACTGTCCTTTCTCTCTCTTTTTTGCTGGACCATCATCCTTCACACAACCATTAAGAATGGATATTTTGCAAGAATCTGTCCCTAGGCCGCTTATCTTCAATCTCTCTTGATGATCTTGGCAACATAGGCTCAATTATTTCTATGCAGATGACTCCTCATATCCATTCTGAATCTCTCTACATCCCCAACTGCATGCTGAACAGGCAGGGATGTTTCAATGGCTTTTAAAACTCAACAAGTCCAAAAAAGTATTCACAATCTCCTTCCCCTCTCTTCTGCCCCTCATCCTCCCATTTACCTTGGTCAGTTTTGCTCTTCACAATCCTCCCCTCTCCTTCTCCACGCTCACATGCCACTCCTTTACTTAAGTCAGAACTTCAGCACTTCTTGCCTCTGCTCTTCATTTGGTGGTCCTAATTACAGTCTCTCCCCTCTTTTTACCTTTTCCACATAACCTTCAAATTACTATTTGTAAAATAGGGGTCTGACCAAGTCATTTCCTATCTCAAAAATCTTAAATATTTTTCAATTGACCAGGGATAAATCACAACCTCCTCTAGTCTGACATTCATGTCAAGCTTTCCACAGTCTGCTTCCAATCTACCATTCCAACTCTGCCTCACATTGCTTCTCTTCTTGCACTGGATGTTGTAGCCAAACTGGACTACTTGCTGTTCCATGAACTTCGCATTCCAATTTCCACCTCCATGCCTTTGCAAAGGTTGTCCTCTCCTTCTGCCTAGAAGGTACCCCCTCCTCACCCTGGGCATCTTAAAATCCCTCAGCTCAGATGCCACCTACCAACAGAAACCTTTCTGATTCCTACAGTCATCAGTGCTCTTTTCCTCCCTAAATTAGTTTTATCTACTTATCTTTGCATATATCATATCTTCCCAGTAGATTATAAGCTCCTTGAAGATAATGTCCTGGAGAACATTTTTTCTTTGTGTTCCCAGTGTCTTACACATGGTAGGCACTTGATGTTCACTGGACTGAACTTGAAAATCATTTAAAAAGCATTTTGGCAACTTCTGACATCAGAAATTTATCAAAGATACCTGGAAAGTCAAGTCTGTGAGATACTGAGGTGCAGTATGAATGGTTGACTCTCTGCTTCTCTCTTGCTTTTCATTTTCCATTTTGGTAGGTGATTTGTCTGGTCTCAGATCTTGGTCTTCTTCTGACTTGATTGGCTGGGTCTCCATATCAGTCTCATCATCACCTATTGTTACATGAAAATATACTAATCAAATCCTATGTTACTATCTAAACCTGGTTTATTCCTTTGGCACAGTGGTTATTCCATCTTTTCTTTCTTCTTAAAACACCATTTACTGACTCCCATCTTTCAGCATTCCTTCATTAGAATACCTTACCTCCTATTTTATAAAGGAGTCTGAGACCAACTGGTATAACCTTACTCAAATATCCCCAACTTCACCTTCACATAATACTGCACCTATATTTCTTCTACTCTTAGAAGAAAGAGGGCTTTCCCTCTTGTCTTTATGGCTAATACTTCCCTCTGTACCCTAAACTGCAACATATCCCTTCTGTCCAAGATGTTGCTCTCACTATTGCCTTGAGTACCCAGTGAAGAAAGACTCTGCCTACTCAAGGAGCAAGAGGTGGGTTCTGCATTTTGCACAAGACTGGCTCTTTAGTGAGGGGGCACTTAGTTATCAACTTGTTTCAGGTTCCATATTATTTTAGATCAAATGAATCAAACTGTTGCATGTGTCTTCCTTAATCTACATAAACCCCATGACTCTGGCAGGACACCATGGATAAACATGTCCAAGGCTTTCTAATCAGGAACCTTAGCTTTTAACTCAGCACTTCAGGAAGTTTTCCCCTTCAGAGTTAGAAGTCAGGTTTTCATTATACTCAAAGGTGGCTTTTTTTTCCTTCCTCAACTCAGGAAGAAACCTAACATTTTACACAGAATCAAAACCCAAAATAGTAACACACTGAAGAATTAAAGACTACCAAGTCTTGTGACCACTGGGACACAAGTGCAAACTAGTTATGGGGAAAGACATGAGATACACAACAGAATACATTTTGGAAGGGGCAGAAGAGGAGTTAGCTTTACCTTGGGTTGCTAAGGCACCAGACTTGACTTCATCTGGCTTCAACGCCTTTGTATCTACTGTTTTGAGATCCTCTTGTTGTTCATCTATTTCCATAGAAGCATCTTCTGAGTTCTCTTCCTGCTCACTGCTGGGGGGATGAGCAGACTGTTGCTGCTCCTGGCTGGCCACATCTATAGTCAAAGCACAAAAATTCATCTAGATCACTGGGAGGAAAGTAAGGACTTACCACAATACTTCACTAATTTCTAATTTGCAAGATTTATTAGTCCCACTGTATGAGATATGCAAAATACCTGCCCTAGAGTCCCCTGTGTTGCAAAGAAGTAACAACTGCCTCTCACTATTTTCCATAGATGTGCAAATTAAGCATCACTATGGAAATAGATGCACCAAATAAATATGACTGAATCCATAATATTTACTCATCAGTCCATACAAAAGGCATGGGGAACACTGATTTTGGAATCTGAATACCTAGGTTTAAATCTGGACTCTTGGATACTGACTAGCTGTCCGACTTTGGCCAAGTTACTAAACTACTCTGAGCCTTAGTTCCCTTATCTGTAAGATGGGGATAATACTCTATCTATTTCCCTTAATAAGGTTATTGTGAGGAAAATGTCATTGGCCTGAAAGTGCTACAGAAACATAAGCTGTAAATCTTATCCCATGTACATAGATGGCTATATAGAGAGGTCAGGGAGTGACCTCTAGGAGAAGGTACTGCATGTTTGAATCCTGATGCTACACTTAATTCATTACTCCATTCTGCCTCTCCTTTTCACTGAGGAAAACATTTATTTCAAGTTCATAGCTCTTGTTAGTGTAGGGGTCATCCTTAAATGACCTATAGGCAACAAACTACCTGGGAACGCAGTACACTAAGTGGGATTGTTTTGAAAGGATAAAAGCATTTTAAAAAGCACATTAGGTATAGAAATCTTCAGCCTATATTGCAATATGCATTTCACATCAGAATTTCCTCCAAGAGCACTTGAGCAGATTTTTTATCCATAAATCATTTTCTCCCTTAACTCCAAATTTAAAATTAAGGTAGGTTAATAAGGAAACTGCACAGACTCAGCTCACAAAAAGACGTGTAGCATCAACGAGGGCAACCGTGGTACCCAGTGATACTCTACCATAGGTCTGTGCATCATAGGATTCGCTGCCCTGCTTAATATGTTCAAATGCATCAGCTTCTTCAACTTTTGCTTGGGGCTGGGCTGTTTCTTGCTCTGCTGAGCTGGTGAATTCCACTGTTCTTAGCCGCTTATGCACATGCTCACTGTGGTCTCCCATGGAGCGCTCATTGTTAGCCTGGCCAGGCTTTCTCTTAAAACTCTGTGGATAAATGGTCAAAGGATATAAACAGGCAGTTTTCAATGAAGAAATCAAAATAGTTTATAGTCATATGAAAAAATGCTCTGATTAAAACAACCTTGAGATATCATTTTATACCTACCAGACTGGCTAAAATGATAGAAGGGCAAAGCGATAAATGTTGAAGAGAATGTGGAAAAACTGAGACACTAATTCACTGCTAGTGGAATTGTGAACTGACCCAACCATTCTGGACAGCAATCTGGAATTATGCTCAAAGAGTTATTAAACTACCAATATGCTCTAAAATGTTTATAGGAGCTCATTTGTGGTAGCAAAGAGCTGGAAATGCAGGGATGCCCATCAACTGGGGAATGGCTGAACAAGTTGTGGTATATGACTGTGATGAATTCTACTGTGCTCTAAAAAAAATGAGGAGCTCAACGATTTTAGAACATGGAAAGACTCTGCATGAAATAATGAAGAGTGAAATGAAGAGAACCAAGAGAACATTGTATACAGTAACAACAATATTGTTTTAAGAACGACTTTGAGCAAATAAGTTATTCTGTCTATTATGAATACCCAAATTAACGAGGACAAATGAAGAAAGACTCTATCTGCATTCAGAGAAAGAAATGATAAATAGAAGTATGTATAGAATAATTTTACACACACACACACACACACACACACACACACACACACCACACCTATTGATGTCTAATTGTAGCCATCTCCAGAGTGGGAGAGGAGGAGGAGGAATGGAGGGAGGAAAATGGAGGGAAAAAGAAATTTGCATGATAATTTTATTGTATATTTGAAAGGAAGAGCAAGTTGTGCATAGCAGATTTGCAGTTTCATATGCACTCATCTTTTTTATTGTACTATGTTATGGAAATGCTTGTTTTATTCCATAAATTAAAAACAAAATAGAAACTAGAATAAAAAAAAACTGGAGATGTATTAAAACATGGGTGACTGGTTTTGCTAAGCACCTTGGGAACAAGATTTGTTCTTCTAATTGTCCACCAGGCAATCTAACAGATGGAAATCTTACAGACTGTCTCAAGCTAACATTATTTCATTCAGTAACTACTGAAAAGCCTACATAATACAGGTCTGGGGATTGACTGTACACCTCTTATTGGAGGATAAGCCTAGCTGAGTTCAGAAACATCCAATACCAAGCTAGCCATCAGGTGACTAATTTTTATGGCCACAGCTACTATCAGAAATCATCTATAATATTATCAATAGGCTGTGATTTGTGTCAGTGGAAAGAGTACTTATGTCAACAAAATCTGAGGTCTATAAAACACAGTACTATGGCCAAAGTATAAAACACTGTAATAGGTACTGGTAGGGAAGAAACAAAGATAATGAGGAATGGTTTCTGCCTGAAATAGGATGCTCCAAGGGAGGAAGTCACAGCAAGGCAGCCCTACCAGGGAAAGTAGTTTCAACTTTTTCCAATAGAGTACTTATGGGGAACAGGGTCAGGAAGAGGGGGAGGAAGAGAGACGAGCAGGTATTGGTGGTCCTGTTAATAAGTTCTCTTTTCTACAGCCTACACACTAGTTGAGAAGATAAAAAAGAAAAAGACCTGTGTGTTTTTCTTGCTCCGCTTCTGAGATGCCAACCGGGACATCAGCTTGGACTCATGGCCTTCTGCTTGCCTTGCGTCTGCAGTACCACTTCCATGTTCCTAAAAATCCAAGGCCAAAGAGGACTAAGGCAAGAAGAACTCATCAACAATTTATTCTAGTAGACAACAACCAATTTAACATTCATTGACCTTACATTCTCCCTATACAGGTCAATGTATAAGAACATTCCCTTCATGATCTAGGATATAAAAATAAAAGTTAAAAGTGTTTGTGAAATTGTTGGCTAGCCAAATAGAAGATAACCCTCCTACAAATATATCACTGTAGGAAAGCCAATTTTAATCTCTCTCCTAGGGAATTATTTTAAAAAATAATTAAACTGTTTCTTCAAAACCATCATGCCAATAACACTTGCTAATTATAAAATAAATCTCTTAAATGCATGCTCTTCTGTAGATTTCTCTGTGGGACAAATACATATGAAACATAATTAAAGGTGAAGTATAGAGTGTCTAGAAAAGAAAAAAAAATGATACATCCCAATCATTACCAAGACTTCTTTAATGGGGGGGGAGGGGGGAGAATGCGCACAGAGAGCAACAAAGAGAAAAGAAAGGAGTTAACCACCAAATAAGAGCAAGCTTGAGCTGTTAAGTGAAACTCCAAATCACCTCTTTAGCTTGGTCCTTCTCAGATGCAGCTCCAGCTAGCTCAACAGCAATCTCACTCTGCAGGTTCTCCTCTCCTGTCTGCCCACAGGATTCATGTTCCTTCCTCTCCATGGCTTCAGGCACCTCCTCATCCACTTCCGGAATTTCCTTTTCCTCCTCTTTCTGAGGAGGTCAAAGTGAACATAATAATTAGCACTATGAGAGGATGCAATATAAGGGAAACCACAGTAACTATGAAGTAGGCTACAGCCCCATCACAAAAGTGACTAACTATGGGAGGGTCTTCTTCAAGTCTTCAGCTTGACCAGACCTAAGCAGATGGAAAGTCACTTCACAGATCATTTAGTCTAACCCCACCATTTTACATGGTAGAAAAACGTTGTGTCATTTGTTGTCCTACCCCATTATTTTACAGATGAAGAACCCAAAACCTCACGAGGTCAAGTGATTTGCTCAACTTTATACTGAACAGGGTCAGGATTTGAACCCTGATCCTTTGACCCTACATCCAGTTCTCTTTTTACTGCTTCATGCTGTCTGATGAGTAGAAGCAAAATATTAAATATATCACAAGGGAGTGTTAGGGAGGTTATTTTTCTAACCCTGCCACACCACAGATATTCCAACAAAAAAGAGATAATTCTTGCCCTCTCTGTTTTTGAGGGAGAACAATGTGCTATCACCTCCCCACCTGAGGCTGGAGGCCTTTGTGAGTGGGGACTCCATTCTCCTCGCTGGCCTCCTGGTGCTGCTGCTCTTCCTCAGCTGCGTTCTCATCTGAGTTTTCCACACTATCTTTCTCTTGGTCATCAGTTTCTGCCTCTGCTTCTTTTTCCTCCTCCATCTTGTTATCTTCAGATGTTCCTTCTTCAGGCATACCTAGATCTTGAACTTCCTCGCTTTGGTCAGGAATAGCATCTTGCTCTTTTTCCTCAGCTCCACAACCAGCTTCTTCTGGGTCCATTGGCTTCTCATCAATTTCAAGAGGATTTGCTTCTGGAGAGAGATGAGTGAAAAAGTAAAAGGAAGAGTGAATTTCAGAAATCCACAACGAAAAGCATATTCTAGAACACAGAAGAAATGAAACTAACTTAACTTAAATGTCTTCAGTATCAACCTTGGGAATGAGAACTGGAAGTTCTTCATTGGACATAAAAGTTATAGCATGAATTCAAATGGAAGCTATCTCTATTTATTTGAAATGTTTAGTGACAACCCTTCATTTAGTCTTTGTTATAGCACCTCCAACAGAATATTGCTTTCTCATTCCTTGGTCAAATTCATCTGGAGAGAGTTAAATGGCAGCACAAACTACTCCACACCTAAAGGAAATCACTACAAGTTATGTGATACATTTCTATTCAGAAATTTGAAATTTTCTATGTCAAATGAACTTATTAACTTCATGCTACTTTGTAGATGAGTAGGGTCATGCCTACTCACACCTGCAACTGAAAGAAGTAAGCCAAGGGTTCATGGTAAGGTGGAAAGAGCATAGAAATCTGGAAGACTTGGGTTCAAAGTCCCTAGCTCTTTGCTTTATGCACATAAACTTAGTATCTCTGGGATTTGGTTTTTTTCTTTTCTTTCTTTTCTTTTTTTTTTCCCCTAGGCAATGGGGTTAAGTGACTTGCCCAGGGTCACACAGCTAGTAAGTGTTATATGTCTGAGGCCAGATTTGAACTCAGGTCTTCCTGACTCCAGGGCCAGTGCTCTATCCACTGTGCCACCAAGCTGCCCCAGGATTTAGTTTTTTTCATCTCTTATTAAAATGAGGAGATGATCTGTAAGGTCCCTTCCCAAAATGACAGTCTATAATTAAGTATCTACAGCATAAATGGCTGCTGCTAGGCTTTATCAGTGTACACTGAATATACAGACACTAGTCCAGACATTCTAGGCTATGATATATATTGTGGGTTCACATGCATGAACATAAACTGAGAAAGAAAAATAAGGGGAGGGAGAAGAACACAAGCATATATAATGAGAAGAGACAAGAAAAAGATACGAAGTGGCTAGGAGGAACATCAATACAAGAATGTGAAATAATACTAAGACTAAAGAGACACCAATCAGTTAATGAGTTTTACTTATATATAGACTACTCTATATTCTTTCTCTATTACTGCTATATAGATCACTGTTTTACTCTAAGTGGGGGAAAAAAAAACACCAAGCAAACAGGCAACCAGTTCAAACTGATCTCATCACATGATTTCTGGCCTGACCTCCATTCCAATTTCTATCTTTTATGGAGTTTTCTTTTTTCAATTCACAAGGGTTTTTTGAGAAAGCAAAATATATTTCTCAACCACTTTTGGCATGTTCCAACCAATGAAGCAGTTTCTTCTATCGGTACCTCCTTCTTCAGCTTTATCCTCCTCATCACTCTTTTCTTCACCATCAAGGTTCAGGTCATCAGGAAGGTCCAGAGGCTCTGGTTCAGGGTGCTTTTCTTGGTTGCCATGATAAGGATCTACTTCATTTTCATCATATTCCCTCTAGTAGGCAGAGGAAAGCGGACCAAAGAGAACACTGTATTAACACATACTCTCTTAGAAGGGATTGCTATATGATGTTCCTAGGTATCAATCAGTCTATTCAATTTATCATTGTCAAACAAAGAATTTAACAGTCATGCTGTCATTTCAAAACTCTTTCTGTGTAGGTTCTTCAATGACAAACCACAGAGAAAAAAATTTAGTTTTTAACACCAAAGTATTAACATAGTTTTATGGATATTCTACCTCTTTGTAGGCAGTTAAATGCACTACCCATTTTGTACATTCTTTTACATGTTAACCAGAATGATAGTAAATGGATGAAAAGGGGTAGAAGCAATTGAGGAGGGGATCCTTCATTAATTAATGGCAGGCTTGTATATTAGTTATCTATATAATGTCTTTTTCTAAGATTCATGCTTACAGTGGCCAACAAACACAGAAAATTACCAGTGAAACCTACATTCTTAGGAAGAACCTAAGGGCCAGGAGGCACAGACTTACACAAAATCAAACAGAAAGAGATGGGAGAGGCATCTTAGCTCCCCCAGCACCAGTTCCATTCCACATTACTCAACAATGATGTCTGTAAGAGCTGTGCTTTGTTTACTGTGATGTCCACACACACTCAGGATATAGGATACAATTTGAACACAAGAGAACAGGTTTCCTACCTCAAAAAGTCTTAGGGTCGGGAAGAAGTTTTCATTGGGTTGTCTATATCTGCAATTAATCACCACTATATCTAGGACTCACTTTGAAATTCTTATTACCTCATCTACTTGTTCGTGAATTTTCTCTTTGCCTTGTCCGTCATCATCTGCCTCTCCCGCTCCCTCTTCTTCCTGTTTGCTTGGCTGCTTTTGATCTTTGTTCTGATTGCCTGCATCCAAGCTGTCATCCTTTGCAACAAGTTCAGAGTCCTCCTTAACAGACAGAAAAAGGTGGGGAAAGTGTGTAATGGGGAAGTATAGACACAAAAACTCTCACACTCAATCCCAGAAACTGTTTACACAACAATTTAGTTCTTAGACTTTGCAATTTTCTCTTAATCTTACAATACAGAAATGTACAGCCCACAGGGAACTATGGACGCCTGGAAGGATAACATTCAAGGTAAATCCAAACATCAGTACCAAGAGTTATTTGTATGAACAGTACGCGAAGTGCTGTGCTCAGGCAATAAATATGAAACTATTATCCTATTTCTCACTGTAAGGACCAAATGGCTCTGAGATCTTCCCAGGTCCATCATTTTATACATCTGGAATAACCAAAATAATTGAAGGAATTCTGTGGCCACTGACAGACTCAACCCTTAAACCACTTTTACCAAAAGAAATCTTTTATTCTCTCTGTCTCCTAATCTTAATTCACAATCCACAGCTTTACCCACAGAGCAATCTCACTAACAAAACACTGAATGCAACCAATGAAACTAATAAATCTTGGGAGGCAGGCAGCAAAGAAGGAAAAGGAAAGGAAGGGAAATGGAAAAAGCATAGAAAGATGAAAAAAAAAAGTGGGGGGGGTGATGAGGGTTTATAAGGAAGAAAAGAGTAGTAAGAAATTATCTCTCATATGACCTATATAATTTACTAAGCTATGACCCTGAAACTTTACTGGGTTTTTCCCCTCCTTAAACAAAATTACCTCATCCATTCCTGGTCCAGTTTCTTCTGCCTTACTGTCATCTTCATCTTCCTCCTCCTCCTCATCATCACCCCAGAGCCTTTCATCTAGTTTTTCAGCTTCCTCTCCACTGAGATCTCCCATCTGTTTATCCAGTTCTTCATTTTCATTATCAGATTTCTCATCATCCTCTTCTGAAAGGGGAGAGGCATTCAGCTTAATAAGACATATCCCAGCACACAGGGAAATGTGGAAAAGAAGACAGACAGATCCTGTTCATATAAAAACTAAAACCTCTCCATGGTAGATAAGGACTCATAGGTGGTGTCTACCTAACAGCCAAACAATTGGCTCCATTTACACAACACCTTAGACTAGACCATCGGTACAGTAGAGAGAGATCAGTGAAATGAATCAGAAGACTTGGGTTCTAGTCCTAAATCTGCCTGCTACTAGTTGGTAACTTTGTGGAAGGCCTTTTATCTCTCTGGTCCTTAACTTCCTTATTTGTAAGATGAAGCATTTGTATTAGAAGACAACCTAAATCTCCTTTTAGCTGTAATGCTATAACACTATAATCTAAATAGTAACTTTCATTTCTGCAAGAGCTGGACCCCTTCCCCACCCCCTGCCCCAAGCTACCATTTTCTTTTTACCCAATATTTAACCCCACTATAATTCGTATCATAATATACTGTGCTTTGATATCAGTAGTCCCCTTGCTGACCTATGCACGGCTTCAGGCAAGCACAACTGTAGCAGAGGCCCTCTGAAATTAAAGAAGTCACCTTGTAAGCAGGTATATGAGGTCACTGGGGAAAGGAGGCTTCTTTGAAATCAACTAGAAATTTTTGCCTTTGTCAAGAGAGAGATACACATGCTCACACTAAATGCTCTTAAACCAACTATAATTCAAACAATCTCTACACATTGTTATGAACCAACTTGTTCTAACAGATTAGATGAATGAAAACATGGAGTTTCTTGGACTGTACTTTATCTTTTTTCCCAAAATAAGAATAAAGTGATACATGGTCCACATTAGTCAAAAGTGCCAAACCTTGTTTTTCCAGTTCCCCATCATGCATTTTCCCATCAAAGTCCTCTGACATTTCAATGGCATTATCTTCTCCTTTAATATCAGGTTTTGAGTCTGGGTCCTCTTTCTCTTTTTCTTGACCCTTTTGATGACTGTCCTCTACCTATATTGAATAACATTGTCAAAGACATTGATGAATAACTTAATATTAAGTAATTTTGTTTCACCATTACTTGAAATTTAAATCTCAAATTCAATCACATAAAACACTTTTTCTACATTGGAAAAAAATTAGCCTGACAATTATGAATATGATTAGAGTAACAGTTGGCAAACTACTACTTGAAGGACAAATCAGGCTGCTGCCAGTTCTTTTAGGCTGGTGAGCTAACAATGATTTTTACATGTTTCAATATAATAAAATTTTATTTTAAAAATGAAAAATTTATTCTTAGTTCAAGCCTTATAAAAACAGGAAAAGGCTGCATTTTCACCTATAAGCCACAGTTTGCAAACTGCTAGATTAGAGTATTTCTTTTCTTTTCTTTTTTGGGGAGCAGAGATGGGTGGGAACAGACTTGTGATATCAGCACTTCAGGAAACCCCTTGTGTGGAAACTCTCTCCATCATTACATTATCAGCAACACAGGTATAGTTTACAGCCTCAGAAAGTTGCCTGGGGTATTCAGAGGCTAAGTAGCTTGCCCCTAATCCAATAGCTAATAAGTAACAGAACTAGGATTCAAACCCAGGTCTTCCTAATTTTAGCTTTGCATATGATTCATTATACCATACCGTCTCTCAGAGTCTAGTCACACACTGTAAAGAAATATAATTTCAGTATCTTTGCATACCTCTTTGTCACTCTTGATAAACACATATACATGGTTTACATACTACTAAATATCCACCAATTCAGATACTTGCTGAAGTGGAGATAAAATAGTTTAGTCCAAAGTGTATGAAAACTTTTTTTCAACACTGAAGTCTTGATTCCAAGAAGGAAAACTCCAGAATTATTAAAAAAAAAAGTTTCCTTAGCAAAGAGCTTTTAGTAACAGAAAGCTACATGCCAACAGAGCACTTTTGTCCCCTGCTGGATGTAGATTATAACATAAAAGGCTACACAACTTCCTTTAGACTGGCTGAATTTTTCAAAAATTTAAAGAACCAAGACCAAGAAAAAAATGCTCCTTAAAGGACCTCTAAAACCATTGAGACTCCCAATAAAGATAAGCTAACACCAAAAAGCTCATTTGTTTTTCTTCAAATGGATGGATAGTAACCTACGGCTAAATGATAAGATTCCCTGTGAGACTAGCAAAAAATAATTTTCCCCCTTAATTTTGCCTATATAGAAAGAAACAGAGAGAGGAAAGAGGGATCACCACATACCTGTTCTTCATTTTCTATTTGGTCACTCACATCCTTCAAGCCTTCACCTTCTCCAATTCCACCTCCTTCATAGTCATGGAATTCTGATGCTCCTTCTCCTGCAGACTCTTCCATCAATTCTTTGGGGAGGCAAAATCCCTTTCAAGGAAACAGAGGTAGCAGAAGAAATTAATTATTTCCTTCTAGTAAAGAACAAGAAAAAAGGTCATTTTTTTTTTCTCACTGTCACTGACTGCCTCCAAATCATTCATTTTACAGCCATTTCAGAACTTCTGTGAAACTACTAAATGATAATCAACTTAAAAAAAAATAGGAGTATTTGTGTTAAGTCTTCACTTAATGAAATTCTGCTGTCCATTAAAGATTTGTTATGTGGATTAATGAAATTAATTCCCATAAAGACCTGTTAAGTCAACATTTTTGAAGTAGTTCTAAAGGGTGACCCTTTCTCAAATAGTACCTGCTGATTCACAACTCTGAAGTTACACTTCACATCCTTTCAAAATGGCAAAGATTAATAAACAATCAAAAGTTGCAGGAAGACATAAACTAATAAAATCTCTATGGAGCTATAATTTGATCCAACCATTCTGGGAAACAATTTCAATTATGCTACAAAAATTCACAAAAAATTTTTTATGCCCACTGACCTACTGAGCCCATATCTAAGTATATACCCTAAAGGAAGGCACAGACAGAAAGGCAGGCCCTATCTGTACCCAAATTCACGTAGCAGTTTTTGTGGTAGCAAAAATATAACTCTATGTTAGCTTTTAAAGTCCTATACAACCTAGTCACATACTATCTTTCGGCCTCATTGAACATTACTCCCCCTCCCACACTCTGAGATCCAAACAAGCTGACCTCTCCGTATTTCACATATAACACTCCATCTCCCATCTCCTATCTCCTATCTCCATGCCTTTGTACTGGCTGTTGCCTATCCCTGGAATGTAACTCTTTCTCATCTCTGCCTCAGAGAATCCTTTTCTTAAATTAAGACACAGCTCAAGCACCATCTTTTATTTATAACCTTTCTTGATCTCAGCTGTTAGCACCCTCCCTTTCAAACTATCATGGACCTATTTGTATTTACATACTTATGTACGTCCTTGTTTCCTGTTACATACAAGCTCCTTGTGAATAGGGAGTATTTAATTTATTGTATTTTTATCCCCAGTGTCTAGCATAGTTCCCAACATATAACAGACACTTAACAAATGCTTGCTGATTTGCAGATTGATGGACAAGAGGTACCCATACCATGATGTACCCTTCTGAGTATAGTATATGTTGCCTCAATAACTTACAAGAAGGAAAAAAATTTACCACCCAGATAATGGAGAAATACCTGACACAGTCATAGACCCAACACTTCTTAATTATACCCATCCTAAATGAAGACATATTGCCCTACTAAACAAAGCACATATCTACCCTGATTAAGCAATTCAGAGCCTTACACAGCTCTCACTGACACATAGCTACAGTCATGAAAAATCTTAGGATATGAATAAAGTCTTAATAAAGAGCATACTCTAATGAAATACTCTTCTCTGATAAATAAAAGGTTTCATTATATCAACAAAGACTCCAATTTAATCTAGCCATATTTATACTGAGATGACTTATCAGACTTATTGCTTTGGATGATAATAACCAATTTATAGAATTATTTTTCCAGAGCTGGGGTCTACAGTTCAATGGAATAGGTTTCTCATTTTGAAATGTTATATTCTATGTGCTGACTCACTAGATCTATGTTCTGTTCATACAATTTCAAACTACAGTGTTGACAACAGAGGTTCTTTATCCACTCGCTTTTTCCTCTGAGGTTAGTTAGACTGTACTCTTTGGGATGACTATGGATCTCATGAAGGAAGCTCTGCAATGTCAGGAGTTTGATATAACTAGCATAACGTTATCTGTAAGTAGCAGCATCAGGAGGAGCTCATCATCATCTAAAAGGAATCTTTCAATTTGAACTTTCCACAGAACTATTCACCATGATGATAAATACCTTTGGTGAGTAGGCATCTCTTTGTTTCATGCCTCATTTGATATTAGCAAGAAGACTGTACAAAGTTATCTCTGCTATTGCATATTGTGAAGGAATTTTGCATGATTATGACAATGAATAGGAAAAAATCTTGCTTGGAGCAGAGCCCTCTAAGGCAGCATTTTGTTCAATTGTAAGTTTTAGGTTTTGTTGTTTTTTTTTAAAAAAACATAATCAACATATAACATATACAGTTGGATCTTGTATTCCTAAAACTTTCTACCAACTGTGTGACAGTAAAGATGTTGTCTGCTATAATTTATCATTTGTGAAAGTCTGCTTGTTCTCTTTCTTATGTCTTCAATGATGCACTTGATACAAGTGCAAATTATTCTCATCAAGATTTTGAAGAGATTGGAAAAAAGGCATATGAACAATGCAGACACTGCAAATAGACAATGAACTAGGCCTGGCATTAAATAAAGGAAGGAGTACCAGCTGGACTACATTTTGAAAACTGTACAGAGCTTTTTAATGACTTTATTATTCTCACTGAAACAAAGGCCCATCTCTGTAACATCAGTACTCTTTTGCTGATACTACATGGCTGTGAATCATGAAATGCCACAATTTCCAAAGAATTAAAGTTGTAGGCCACCTAAAGAGGTATTAGTAGTGGATATTAATAGGCTACAAAATATTACCAACTAAGAACTGTGCATCAAAAGCATAATAAAAGATATCACTGAGAATATATGTGACTAGCAGAGAAGGTGATAGGAAGGTCAGGAACAAGATTCAAGGAACAGATGAACAGTCCAAGAGTTCCACTAGTATCCATTTAATCCTAAGAGGTCTAGAGGAAGGCCCTCACCAAGTGGGTAGACTCTCGTGAAGGATTTATGGAAGGACATGGACAATAATCACACAGGGTAAGAAAGTGTGGATGAATTATGTCTGCACTAGAAGATACAACTAAGTTTCACAGTAAGCCAGTACATAAGCAAAAAGCATTAATTTCAATGTGGCCTCCAGGTTCTAGGAATGCCTATCTATGCATCAGTTCTAATGGCTTTCACATAATATACTCAAAATAGAAAATATTCTTGGGAAAATCATTTGACAGAGTCAATGGCCTCCTTAGTTACATAATTCTTCCAGTTATTTTGTGGAAGTCTACAAAATTAAAAACTACTTCTATATTTAAGGTTTTTGAATAGTTGGATATCTTTTGGCCTAAATGGTCTCCAAAAGGGGCTTACCTTCTGACCAAGTTCAGAAAAGACATGAGTGAGCACAGAGAGCAATTTCCCAGTGCTTCGGTGAGTTGCCAAGGACACTGTTAGGTGAAACAGGACAAGATCTGAATACCTGGAAAGCATGGGCATGAGGCGCACCAACAAGGAACAGGCTTGATTGAAGAACTGTATGTACAAACAAACAAACAAACAAAACAAAACTCTTCAGTGACAAGTGCCTTGTCTGACAAAATGACAGCCATGGCTCGTAATTCCAGTCCTCAGTTATCTGTATGAAGTTTACCTGTTCAAGTACAATCAGTTTACTGAATTCTCCTCTGACAGGGAAGCCTGTATTTCAAAAAGATAATGTAGAATTTTGTTTGTCCCAACCTATACAACCAGTTCCCCAGTGAGGAAATTGCTGTACCAAAGTTGATGAGATTTCCACAACTTATAATCTCAGCTGCCTGGGGCACTTGCTCGGGGTCACACAATGTGTCAGTATGTGTCAAAGACAGGATCTGAATCCAGGTAATACTAACTTTAAAGACAGCTCTCTGTAAACTACTCCATGCTGCCTCTCCTGTGGCAGAACAAAATATAAAATCTTGCAAAACAAATGCAAAATTTGTTATTGGGATGATCAACTCGTAGTTTAGGCTACTGCAGATGACTGATGTTTTCAGTTTTAACTATTATTAATTAAAATATCTTAGTATTATTAACTATTAGTTTAGTAATTAGTAATAATTAACTATTATTAGTAAAATAACTTGGTATATACTTTTGAATGTTAATATTTTGGTCTAGACCTGTGATTTCATCAGTATATGGAACTCCCAACAAGGAAAATCTTCCACCAATATAAACTGGCCCCTATTCTTCAATTTCAAGTCTTGGAGAGTTCCCTCAGGCACTAAAAGGTTAAGTAACTTACCCCTCCACTCCCACCCTGGTCACATCAATTCCCTCCACTCACACAATGGAAATCAAATATTACATTAATAAAACTCAAGGGAAGATTGTCTGGCTTTCTGGTATTCAAAACTATACTTTCTTACCTTTAGCATTTAGGCATCTACTTCCAAGTAGACCAAAGTATCCACATACCAAAACTAGTCAATAACCTATCATGTACAGAATCAGGGCAATTTCTTAGCTGTGCCACCTTGAAAACCGCTAAAGGTGATCAGACTGAAGAAGACAGAGTCAGAAGCTTTGTTTTCTTAGAACAATCTGTAAATATATGAGCTCTTTATTTAAAGAGCCAACTTACCTTGTGCTTCTCTGCTGTACAGTCCTCACCGTAAGATTTCAGCCTCTCTAAGAGCTCAGAAATAGCTGAGATTATTTTTTGCACATGTAGAGAGTTCACATCAGCCCAGAAATCATCTTCTAGGAGTTTTGTTAGATGTCCAGACTGTACTCTCTCCATTGAGTCTGTTGTTTTTTTGGTGGTGGGAGAGAAAAATACCATTAATGGCAGAAAGCCACATATACCAAAACCCATTCTGTACAAAGTCAAGGAGCCACTGAGATAAGAAATCAATGGGCATTAAACTAACAAGAATCAATGTTTGAGATTTTTCATCAAAAAATTTTTTTAAACAAATTTTCACCCAACATAAAACTAAATCTTTGCTTCATATGAAACTTACCACTCTCCTCTTGGAGGGGTTCTTCTTCTTTGCCACTTTGTAACCTTTGATCATTTCTCTCTGCTAAACTCTGGGTGGCAAAGAGGATTGCCTGGATGGCAACCTCCATTTGTGCTGAGAAATCCTCCACAAATCCTTCATCCGATATATGGTTGCCTTGTGAAATAAAGGATAATCAATAATTTGACTTGGTGACCTGGGCAATCCTCATAAAAATCAATATGTATATTAAAAAGAAAAAAGAAAAAAAGGGGCAGCTAGGTGGCACAGTGCATAGAGCACTGGGCCTGGAGTCAGGAACACTCACTAGCTGTGTGACCCTGGGCAAGTCACTTAACCCCACTTGCCTCACCAAAAAATGAAAATAAAAAAATAAAAATCAATATACAAAAACTCTTCTGGAGGGACAGGAATGTTATGAGGAGAATAAGTACAGAAATATGAGATGGTTGGTAAACAACACTAACAGACTCCTACAGTCCCGTTCTTTCACACTACCATGGCTTACATGCCCATTGTCAAGAACACTAATTGCTATCAACAATTAGCAGGCAGTGTGTTCTAGCAAACAGTCAGAGAAGTTAAGAAGCAAGGCCACAAGGCCTTTACAAATTTTGTCCTGGTTACTTTAAACTCCTTTCCTTCCAAATTACAGTTTTTCTTCAGATTTAATCTAGATTTGAATTAACATGAATCTAGAGTTGAAGGACCACTTATAGAACAATAGTTAGTGAATCTTTACTGTTTTAGGCTTCCCACTCTTCCAACCTAAAATTTCAAAAGTCAAGTAGAAAAACTGTCCTTTTCACCTTGTCTGGATGAAGTAAGGAGATGTGTCTTCCAGGCAGTGAAGTCAGCCATGGCTTTATCGATTTCTCCTCTAATATATTCCAAACTCTTGACTAATGCAATTTGTTGTGCAGTTTGCTCAGCCTCTGTCCCTGGAAGAACGAACAAGGACTCTAGGCCCTGCAACTGAGCTGAGACTTTGGACATGCAACTCAATCCAGCAGAGCACACTTCAAAATGTTTCCTGCAACAATACAGAAACATCGAGAAAGTTGAAAAGGACAAGAAAGAACAGACTTCCCCAACATACACAACAGATAAAGCCCATTTTAGTTAAAATTTTGTGGCCAGACACATGATATTTTAATGCATGTACTTTTATAACTCATGCCCTACAATTAATCCAGCAGCTCAACTGAATGAATTCAAAGCAAAGATGCTGCATATTTGTAAATCCCAATTCCTTTCCTATGAATGACAGCTTTCAATTGCACAGTAAGTAATGACTATATAACCCCTCCACTCACCAAGAATGAAATAGAGTCTCACAAGCCTGCTGCCTGATTTTGTCCACTTCAGCTTTCACTGTTTTAATGGCTGTTAGCATCTCAGTCACTCTTGCCATAGACTGCTGCCATAACTGTTCTGATTTCCGCATTCGACAACCAGGAGGCAGGTAATCTCCAGACACAGGAGATGGGTAACTCAGTTTTACTGGGATCATGTCAGGCACTGCCCCAGAAGCCTCTCCCAGAGTGGGTTCAATTACTTCTGAAGTGAAGGTTTTCCCACAGTGGGTAGTAGACAGCCCATCTCCTATGCTCTTATCATTCACACTGCTTAGAGACTGATCCTTTGGACAGCACTGAAGAAACCAGGAAAGCTGCTCCAGCACTATCATGCTTTGCATGGACAGGTGCTGTAGTTTTTCAGTCCATTGCTGAACGCCATCTTGAGGTGGGAAAGCCACAAGATAGCCATGGGACCCAGGCAGTCTGGAATGAATCTCCTGCACACAACTGAGAAGGTTCCTAATGGAAAGAAACCCACCAAAGGAACATATTAAAAAGGTTCTTCAAACTTCAATTTAACAAACACTTATTAATGCAGACTAAGTACATAGTACATTTTGCAAAAGGACGGACTTATCTGATCTGGGGTGGAGGCTCTTCCATTTGATGAGTGTTAAATGGCTCATGGGAGTTTGACAGCATACACCAGAATCCTAAACTTGAATTTTCAAAACTAAATGCCTGCTCATTTGCTCCCATAATCCTCCTACACACTAGAGACTGTTGCTCTTTGAGAAAAGGATCTAGAGTTCTTTTCTTATGAAATGAAAAAAATGAAAAAGAGATTCTAAGAACTCCTAATTAAAATAAGTACTTAGGGTACTCTGCTAAAGTAAACATAATGGATGGTGAGGGGTTACGGCTGAATCAAAATAATTATTCTACACCAAGGACAACCTCTGAGCCAAGAATATAGAATTTATTGTGACCTTCCCTAAAATTGTAAACATCTGTGACTGCTAAGAACGCTGAAGTGAAAGAGAAGCCAATTGCTACATGGTGTCACAAAGGAACAGGATTGCTTTAAACTCTGGCTCTGACACCAGGGATGTAGATGTGGCCAAATCACCTAACATCCCTGTTACTCAACTTCCCCATCTGTGAGATGAGGGCAATAGGACCTACTACTGCACCAGGCTGTGGTGGGGAAAATACTTGTAAGACCTGAAGGCTCTATGTAAATGTGAATTATTTTTGCTGTAACCAATAATAAACAAAAGTAGGCTCGGTAAGCCTGACTCTAAGAATACAGTTTGGTGTTGGCCACCCTAAGACTATAAAAGTACAGTACTAGCCGTCACAACATTGAGCAAAGGAAAGGTCACAATCTAATTCACTTACGCTGTCACTTCACTCATATTCAACTCAGAACAGCCAAGCAGGCCTCCTTCTGCTTTACAAGTCTCTAACATGGCTACAAACTTTTCACAAGGGAATACAGAATATTCACTTAATGCAAGTATAACTGGAATACAATAGCTCACCCTCACCTTCCCCAGACTTAACTGTCAAGCCTTTACTAAGGAACGGTTCCACGTCTGTTATCATCCCATACAAATCTGAGTTGATTTAATCTGTGGCTTAAATACACAGCTCCTTCCCACTCAGTCTAAAAACGCAAACTCAATACTACACCTCCACCCCCACCCCAAGCTGGGCAATCTGTACCTGAGAATAATCCACTGTTCTGTCAGGGCAGTCAGTGAGCTCCTCTGGTGGATAAGTGTCTTCATGAGGTGTGCTGAGAATCCTTTGCATCGGTCAATGATACTCACTCCAATCTCCTGCAAGGGGGAGGTGGAAGGTGGGACAGGACATAGGAAGAAAATAAGAGTAGAGAAGCTATTACCCTGGAATCCCTTCACCATGCTTGTCTCTTGAAAGAAGATTTGACAATTAGGCATAGGAAATGTCAGGCCAGGTTTTCTGAACCAAGAGACAAGCTGTAGGGGATACAGTCTGACTTGTAGATGATGGGATTTAGAGTTGGGAAGGATTTTAAACATTATTTCATTCAACACTCATTTTAAAAATGAGGAAACTGAGGCCTGAAGAAGTTGGTGACTTAAATCCAAGGTTACCCACGCAGAAAATTATGGAGATGAAAACTGAACCCTAGCCCTCTCTCTGACTCCAAATCCAAAGCCCTTTCTACTGTATAACACTACTTCCATGTGAAATAACATGTTCTACCGACACACTGTATTGGCTGACACACAGGTCATTTTTGTTCTTTCTCACATAAGACAGTCCCATTGCCTGTCTTTATGCTTCTGGAACTGGCTTTCCTTCATGCTTAGAATACACACCTCTCTTCAATTCAACCTCTTGGAATCCTTTTTTCCTTCAAAACTCAGTTCAAGTACCACCATCAATATGAAATCTTTCCTGACCCTCCTAGCTGCCTGCGCCTTTCCTCCAAAATGGCCTTATGTTTGTTTAGCGTATACCGACTGTTCTTGCTTTGAGTAAATTTGCCAGCAGGTGACAAGACCCCATGCTAGCCCCGGCTCCAGGCACTAAAGCCACTCTGGCTGCAGGGGTCCCCAGGCACTGAAGCCCTGAAGAACCACAGAGGGGGCAGGGTCACAACTCTAGGAGACAGAGAGGGGGAGGTCTGTGGAACAATCTACTTATGTTAAGCTAGAATTGGCTGTATTTCTGTATGTACACATATCCTCTGAAAATATGATATTCTCATCTCTGTAGCCCATACATGTCCTTAATCAATAAGTACTGACTGCTGATCGTACCAATTGCCTCACACAAATGCTAAGAGAGTGAGAATGTGTGCAAAGCACTTTGCAAACCAAAACCTACCTAAAGTTCAAATCTAATAACTCACAATATTAAAGAATGGGTCTGTTTCCCCTGATATCATGTAAACTGCTTAAGGGCAAGGATTGTCCTTTTACCTTTGTATTCCCTAGACTTTGGCACAGCACATAGCACCCAGAACCCAGCAGGTACTTCTAAAGCTGCTTCACCCAGATCTGGCTTGTATAAAGCATGCATGTCTCACATATACACACACATACACATATAAAACCAAACTCTTAATAAAAGGATGATGAACAATCTTACTCTTAATAAAAAGGATGATGAGCAAAGTGATAAAGACAACGTGAGCAATTAATAAAATACACTGATTTAAATGGAAAAGAACTCTGAAAATAAATTTTTCAACAAACACACATATTTAGTATGTTAATTTTAATCATTTTTGCATGCATATATGCAAATTTACATCCCCCCATTTCAAAAAGAGCTAACTTTGAGGCTGCCTATACCCAACCCAATATGGTAAATAAGCTGAAGTTTAAGACAGTTCTGATGTCAGCATGACTCACAGGAGGATTTTCTGCAAGCTTATTGATAATAAGCTTGATAGATTAAGATAGACAGATCGATTGATTATGGCTGCCTCCAATTTCAGCATATGATTAGAAAACTTTTAAAAATAAACTCCACAGAAATGATATACCTAAATTGTTACTTACTGAAAAACATCTTTGTCTAAGTCTGTGTAGAGGAAGCTGAAACAATAAGAAAACCTGTACTTTTCACTCTTGCTACTAACTTTCCTCTTTTACCTTTGATGGTGACAAAAAAGCTGCTTGAAGTCTTAAGTGGCGAGCAAGTGATCGATAAAAGTATTTCTGACACCCATCCCAGGAGGAAGAGATTTCTGTGAGCAGCCTGGAAAAGAGGAGGTATGGTTTATGTCCCTAAAGCCATAGCCCCAGGTCTGAGAGTAGGTTTCAAGTCAAGTAAACAAAAAGTAAACAGAAAGTCCAGTTATACCAAATACCAAAACTGTCTGAATTCATTTGTTCATTATCACTCAATAAATAGGCACCTACTGGATGCTCAGTATTTTTTATGACATAATCATGGAAACCAAAGTGGAAGTCACAGTTGCTGCCCTAGATGAGCTCACTATCGTGCTAACCATTTCAAAGGTTAACAAAAGTCAAAACCTGACTCAAAAACAAAGAAGGAAGTTTAAAGCTGTACAGATGGTTTGTACTATGAAACAAAGCATCTGAAGAGATGAATAGTTCTACAAAGGTACTAGAGGTTTTGAAGATTTTTATGCATACAAAATCTGAGAAAAATACAGAACCAGTAGGGGGAGGAAGAGGAGGGTGGGGGTGGGAAGAATCCCTGAGAAAACAACTTGACCATTTGTATAGAGTCCTCATCCAGGTATCATTTATAATTAAATTCTACCCAAAGCACAAACCTTGCATCTGATTCCTGTGTATTGCCAACGATAGACAGCACACTATGAAGATCTAATGGGTGCAGATGAAGGATATTTTGAAGGTCTTTGGAACAAGCCCAAGTAAGGCCTTTGCGATAGGACAAGCCTTAGAAAAGAAATTTTTATTATGAGTTTAAGGAAACAAAAATCATCAAACATCCTTAATCTAGTTCCCCAGCAGTTTACGCTTCAGCACTATTTTAAGTAAAAGGAAACTATAGAGCTGCCCACAGAAAATGGAAATTGAGTACAAGACTCCAACAACATTACTGTTTAATGATTCACAGACAATTAGCATGTCATCACACACCCCCCCACCTTGAGTTATTCAGTCTCTTTCTTTTCTTTCTTGGAAGAAGTGGGAAGAGTGGGGGTGGTCAGGTGGGGGAGGGGTGTTTATAGACCTGTCATTTCACTGGTAAAGGGATTTTCGGGTGAGGAAGCTATCTCTACCAATGAAGACCAGCAACTGTTCTGCAATTTATAGGTACTGAGGGATCAAGCAACTTGCCCAGAGTGATCTAGACAATAATATATCTAAGAGTCAAGACCCTAACCCAATTCTTCCCAATTCTAAGGCCAGTCCTCTATCCACTACACCACACTGCCTTTCTTTTTTCAATTGTGTGTGTGTGTATGTGTGTGCATACATATACATTTTTTATACACACATACTCAGGAAATATAATCCATGCTGTTCCATTTACAATCTAACAAACAGTACTAAATGTATTAGAGAAGTACATTTTCCTTTCAATGAAGACTCACCAACTTTCATGAGATATTTGAAGAGCTCTGATAAAGCCCGCTGCTTCTGCAAAAGAATATGTTTTACTTCTGATTTCTGTTTTTCCTTATCTGTGTTTGGTTCCACAGTTAAGCTCTGTAGTTCACATACAGAGGAAATGACATCACCTGTAGAGAGAGAAGACAGAGAAAGAAAATAATATACCTGAAAGCTTAAGCTTGTCTGAACTAAGGAGAAGTGAATGCTTAGAAGAGCAACAGAAACAGCTTCTGTTTGTATGAACCAATGTGCAGAGAAGTATGAAGAGCCAAGAGAACAATGTATTTTGAGAGACTACGAAAACAACCCTAGATTATTTTTGACTCTGGAGATTTGATGATAAGGCATCCCTCCCTCCTCTCAGGAAAGAGGCTAAGGACTACAGGTATGAAACTCATGAGGCCTAAGCTGTGGGGGGCACTGGCTCTGGCTTAAAGTCTCCTCAACACTGAGAAGCCCGAGAAAAAGAAAGTATTATCTAGAAAACAATTAATATTGAGAGGCCTGAGAACTCAGATCAATGCAATAATCAATTATGATTTCAAAGGACTTAAAAGTGAAAAGTCTCTTACTTCCTCTCAGAGTTAAATGGAGAACGTATATTGAATGAAGCATACATTTTAAGACACAGACAATGTGTTTGTGTGTGTGTGTATTTTATGTGAGGGAGAGTTGGGGGGAGTCACTGGCAAGTGACAGTGATAGGAAAAAGAAAAGAAAGACACTAGACATTCGGAAAGGTGAAGGGGAAGTGTTTCCTGAGGGCCTGGAGTCCATATCTTTACTTCTCACTAAAAAGTCCTGACTGAAAAGGAAAAGATAAAAGCTAATTTAACACCATCAATGAAGTATCCTTGTGTTAAAATTTAGGGAATGGTGGGCTTTCTGTTGTTGTAAACAGATAAATCCCAAAACTAACACGTGTTTCACTTTCATGTTGGTCCCTGCTTGCCCCTCCTCCCTTTAAATTGTTTAGTTGCAAAAAATTAATCAACTGCTTTGATGAGGACCTATAAAGAAGACTGAAAAGCAGCAGAAGCTGTCCTGCAACAAACAAACCAACCCTAAACACATTTTTAAATCTCCTGCCCATAAAACCACCTTACTGCTGTGAGCACCCACTTACACACCTGTGAACTGATCAAGGTTCTCCACAAGGCCAGGCAATGGGCTCTGCTTTATGATTGTAATACATATCTTCTTCATTCGTTTGGTGAGCTTTGGCAAACGGCTCTGCAGCAACCCCTCCGACAGGAATGGAATGATGTCTTGGCAGGTGTCCAGAAGCACAGTCTACAAAACAAAGGCGGCAATGATGTGCTGTCAAACTCACACGTCTCAAATGCTCAAGTGTTAAATACCACTATCACCTCTAACATCTCAGGGGTATAAATACTCGAGTTTCTTAAGTATGGGGAAAAAAAGCAAATAAGAAGATCTAAATGTGTCCATCTTGACCTAGAAATTCAAAGGCATAGCAGTGGGTGCTCCTCAGACACGGTTCTCTCTACCCCACCCAATTCTCACTACTATAAACGCAGTGATTGGCACAATGATTAACATGCATAAGGAGGAGTTGGATGGTAGCATTTTTTTCCTCCAGAAATGCTAAAAGAAACACATGATATTATTCTCAGTGTCAAAATGACTGGATTTTGAGATGGAAGGGACCTCGGAACATGTCCAATCCAACCCCTCCAACCCCTCCTTTTACAGATGAGGTCTGGCCATCTAGATGGTGAAGTACCTATAATGTTGGACCCTGGGGAGTCAGGAAGGCTTTAGTTCAGATCTGGCCTCAGACACTTACTGGCGGGGTAACCCTGGGGCAAGTCATTTAATCATCTGTGCCTCTGTTTCCTCATCTGCAAAATGGGGATGATAATAACAGTGCCTATGTCACAGACTATTGTGAGGATTAGATGAAAAGACCATATAAAGCACTTGCAAACCTTAAAGTGCCATACAAACGATAGCTGATTATTGTTGTTGTTGATCTTATCATTGCCAAGGGGCTGCCAAGGTCACACAGGCAGGAAGCAGAAGAGCCAGGATTCAATCCCAGGTCTTCTGACTACAAATTCAAAATTCTTTTAGTTATCTAATTGCCTCAGGGCCTCTGAAATAAAGCGGTCCATAATGGGATCAAATGAGTGACTTAAGCATTATTAGCAACACACTCTAAATAGTTAAGCTAATGTGTTGTTTTGTTGGGGGATCAGGATTGTTTTTAAAAGCCAGGCAGGTAGCAGGCCCCTAGTAAATGTATGTGCTTAACTGAAATGTTACCCTTGTTTTTCTGAAAACCAGTTTCAATATCAGGTTTCTAAATCTGAGACCGAGAGTTATCTTTAGAGTACAGTCTTTCAATTTTAAAAAGGAGGTATACTAATCAAATTCTCTGCCATCAGTTCAGAGATAACAAACAGGTATGGAAATGGGGTAATCTGTTGACATCAGTGAATCCACTGAAAAATAAAGCTCTGAAAATGGAAGACTTCCATGAATTTGTGCAGGGTAAAGTAAGCACAGCCAAGAAAAGAACATATAAAACTAAACTAATGTAAATTGGGGGAACTGGGGGGGGGGGGACCAAAGATGTAGTCAAAACCTGATTAACTGCTATGACTTGGAGAACAGATGAAGAAATGCACCTCTCTGCTCTTGGTACAGAATGTCATAGATAATGTTAGATAAAGTTGCTATGCTCCTTGGTTTCACCTAAATGTTTCCCTTTGTTACATGAGAAAGTTCAACAGGTGTGAGGGAGGGAGAGGAGAGGGGATCATAAGGAAACAAATGGTATAAAAACAAAAATGTAGGTGGTGGTTGTTGTTTTTAAAGAAAGAAAAGAAAGCTCAAGAATTTCCAATGTTACCGACTAGGTTAGACACTCAGGGGAAATCAGTCAAACTGATGTAGTAAACAGATTAATTTTGAATTTTCCCCTTCAAACAGACCTCCCACGTGGATGGAAACATCTAACAAAAAGACTATCAATCTCTTCTTTGATGGCAGATTTTTAAACTCCTCATTCTTCCAGTTCTCCTTATAATTGTGTGGAAAAGGTACAGGGAATTAAGAACACTATACAGCCCAAACTGCAACAAGCATTTACTTAAGTGCAATCTGGTAAAAGTCATTCATTGTGTTAAACACTGAGGGCACAAAAACAAAATGAGAAACTGCCCTAACATCCAAGAGCTTCCTAAGAAGGGTGGTTTTCCAACATGTAAACAGATGATAATTCGAGAGAAGAGAGAGAAAACACTAAGTACGGGGAATGAAAGAGGTTTCCAGTATGAGATGGCACATACACTGAGCCCTGAAGGCGAGGGGGCTGTCTCTATCCCCAAGCTATCACTAGGTCCCCTCTATCTGAAACCAGATGACCTTCTGGCATAGCTTTACTCATGGAGTGGGCCAAAGGCGGTAGTGTAAACAACACCATGGATGACTGAGTTCTCCATAAACTAAAGTGCTAGGGAGACTCATGTTTCTCTTCTAAGACTCTGCTTTCCAGAAGCTATGCCTCACTGCTCTGCCTAGTCAGGTGCTTTGGAAGGGCAAACAACAAGCCTGAAAACTTCTTAACAATACTCCAAGAGCTCTAATTGCCCTGTTTGGGTTATGGGGACAGGCCCATAGATAGCAAGAATCTGTTATTCCAAAGAAGTAACAAGTGAATAGAAAATTTCCCAGAAGTGAGTACATACCTGGGTGCTGCCTGGTCTGGCTAAGAGAGTTTCCATCAGCATGCTGTTCAGACTCTGAATTGGAGTTTTCTCCTCATCTGCTGCTGGCTGCTTCTGTAGACAGTCTAATTGCTCTTCCTGGGTACTTTCCATTAAGGAAGGCCGGCAGGGTTCGCTCAAGACAGCTTCAAATTTCTTCATGAACTTAAAGAGGGTCCTGACCACAACCAATAATAGCAATTGGAGATAGGTAAACATGATTGGGGTGGGGGTGAGGGGGCATGGTACTTAAAACCTCTACCAAGTCCACATATTTGCCCTCTTTACTTTTACATTTTAATTTTTACTATTCTATAATACAAAATAGTTTTTCTTTTACTTTCCAGAGACAAATACTATGTCAGAGATTCTTAACTTGGGGTCTATGAGCATGTGCGCATGTGCTTTTTAATTTTGATAATTATTTCAATAAAACCAGTTTCCTTCATAATCCTATATATGTTCTTTTATGCATTTAAAAACATTTGCCTGAGAAGAGATCTCTAAACATCAGCAGACTGCCAAAGGTGTTAATGCTATAAATTGGAATCCCTGTAGTAGGCCCTTAAGGCATGCTGTAAATCTAGGGACTTTCAGAAGTCCAGTGACACATGCTGTCCTGCCACTGTCACAAGTCTATTATGGTCATACATTTGCTGCCCATTGTAAAAACTGAACTCAAACTTCAGAATGAGTTTTACTGTTACCTGTGTGTCTTTTCCACAGACTGTTTTACAGCCCAGAAGCTAACATCATTCCACTTGGAGATCTTAACAAATTCCTGTAATATAAACAGAAATCAAAGACTTGTTTATAAAACTCAGCATAAGGTTCATTTTTAGGTTCATAGACTTAAGAAATGGAAATAACTTCACAGACGATCTAGTCCAATCCTCAGGGGTCGCCTAGTCCGACACCTTCATTTTATAGATGAGGAATGTGAGGCTCAGAAAGAAGTGACTTGCCCAAGAAAGCACAGGTAGTAAGGGGGCAGAACCTCTGACTCCAAACTCGACCCTCTCTCCACAGCACGAGCTTCATGACGCTTGTACAACCCAGAAACAGGTCCAGCATCCACCTGCAAACTGCAGGACTGAGGGCTGGCAACTCAAACAAGCTTCAGGGAAAGGCCACCAAGTCATCTATGTGACGTTAGAGAAGTCCAGTTCTCTCACAAGTAAAGGGATTCCCACTACTACAGGACCCTACATTCTTTTAGCACTTGTGTAATGGTAATTAAAATCAATGACCCACTTGAGTACTCCCATGTCCTGGTACTCAGGACCTACACCCTACAGAGTTTACCACTAGAACCACAGAATTGGTCAGTTCCTATCATCACCATGCTTAACCAGCAAAGGAGTCTACGTGCAGTAAGTGGCTCAAAACCTGTACCAAGGAAGATATCTGATTCAGTGGAAAGAGTATTCAATCAAGAGTCACAGGACCTCAGTTTGCATCCTGGCTCTGCCACTTACTACCTGTGTGACCTTTCTAGACCTTAATTTATTCATTTTGAAAATAAGTGAGTTGGGCAAGATGACTGCCACTAAGGTACCATCACATCTTAAATCTATGATTCTTTAAGTTTTAACAGAAACAGCTCTTTGCTGAAAGAAAGATAAGATGATAAGGGATAGAGGTTGAAGACGATGACAACATGTAACTCTAGGGTACGTGATATAAAATGGGGGGCCATGAATCTTAAAAACCCACATTTTATTATCTTGCTTTACAGTAGTCACCTCTCCTTCCCCAAATAACTGTCCTTTAATGCAACTCTCATGATTGTTTGATGATTTTTAAAATTTAGGAATAACCTAAAGTAATTTTGCATTTGTTAAGGTGGTGTTCTGATGAGTTACTCAAATCACCTTTAGCTCTTTTTCTAGTGGGGATCGAAGTTCCTCAATTCGGGCCTGGACTCTGTCTGAGAATTGTTTATAATAATGGTACAGATTCCAAAGAACACTGCAAAGTGAATCTGAAAGAAATAAAAGAGAAAAAGAGTAACAACTTCTTCTAAAAGGAGGCTTTCCCTCGTAGTATCATAACCCATGAGTGGCCTTGAACTGGGAACATCAATAAATTTCAAACTTCTTCGATGCAGATGTTGCACAGTCCTTGAGATCTGTGTCTTCAGTGAAGATCATTCTCTCATTGTTCTTTATGTTAGCTGATTCAAGGACAATGTGCCTGGAGAAACTGAACAATTATTGATGACTTTGCTAGAGCTTAGTTGTCACCATAGATCAATGTAGAGACTTTTCCCTTTGACTCCAGCTCGGCCTTCTGAATTCTTCAGTTACTTTGGGAGTGGATCCTGCCCCAACCCCTTAAAAAGCAGGATCCAAGGTTCTAGCATGAAAAGATTTTTTAAAGAATCCCTTAAACAAATTAGAAGCCGGCAAAGATTGTGCATCTTTCTATCTGGATTGAAAATAAGCTGCCAAAAAAGTATTTGGGACCTTCACTTACTAATTTATCCTTGGCCAAGTGAATTGAAACCACTCCTTAATCTATAACCAATCAGCATTTCACTTTGAATACTTTTCTAGATTTAGTTACTCATTCTACATTAAAATAAAGAACTAAATAAGGTATATCCTATAAACTAGACCAAGAAAATATCATCTATACTTTTCCCCACCTTGAGCTAGTTTATTAATGCATTATATGGAAAAGGGTATACATAATATAACTAGACCTGTGATTTCACTGGAACAAGGACCTCATAGGTGTGGAAATTCCTTCTACTAATGCAGGGTATACCTTCTCTTAAACCAGAGGTCAGTAAACTACAGCTTACAATAAAGCTTCATTTAAAAATGTAAAAAACACTCTTAGATGAAAAGGAAGTGGGGTTAGAAGGGTGAAGTAGGAGGGAGAAGAATCAGCCTGCAGATTAGCCTGGTTTCTGACTCCTATCTTAGAGCTGCCTAGACTACCCAGAGGTTAGGTGACTAGTTCAAGGTTACAGGGGTTCCAGGCCAGCTTTCTATCCACTCATCTTGCTGTCTCTCTAATGCAATACGGGAAAAACATATGCATTTTTTTTAAAGAACCAAACTCTTACCTTTTCCTTCTACCTGTGGCATCAACAAGACATGACAATGGAAAACTAGCAGCATCTGAAGTCGTACTTGGAATTCTCCCAGAGAGGCTCCTTCAATGAAAGCTTGTAAAGTGCTGACCAACATCGTCAATGCCATATGCCTATCACATTCTAGGAAGAATTTAAACAGAGGAGAATGTATTTCTGGCACATCTGACACCAGATGTATTTTCATGGTGATAATGTAGATGAGGTGATGAGAAAGGGGGCATTTAGTCATAAAGGCTTTCTGAAACTGAATTGGGAATTGGCATTATATAAGCACGAAAGGAATTACCTTTCAACTCAAACTTACATATGTACCTGTTGTTTTCTCTCACTGAAGTAAGTTCCCTGAGAGTATAAATTGTTTCACTCATTGCCTTTGTCATCTCCTTCCCTCCCCTAGCACCTAACAGTGTCCAGCATGAAGGACATACTTCATCAATTCTTAGTGATAGATTAATTGCATGAAATAGACAAACGTATTCTCTGACAAGAGATTGTAGTTGGGCTTTTTGTACCCTGATGGAAAGAGCACTGCACTATACAACTGGGGAATCTGGTAATCAGGCCTAACGAGCTCTTCAGTGTGGACTTTGGGCAAGCCTGCTAAAATCTGACTACTCTTCTGTAAAACGGGGATGATGATGATGATGATAATAATCCAAGCCCTAACAAGGAATTTTTGTACTTGGCCAAGTACCACTAAAACCACACCTTGGAAAACTGGTAGGAAACCCTCCCTCACTTGAGTTGGGTGGACTGAGGAAGGAGCTTAACCTCAGCCAATTTTAACTAATATTCCTGCTAGGTAGCAAGTAAATTTGCTTCCACTTGCTGAATGGCTAAAGGACTGTCAATACACTTCAAATTCAGTATCTCCTAAATCTAGTACACTGCGTAAAGCTCTAGAATCATAAAGCATTTATTAAGCACCTACAAAGTCCAAGGGACTGAACAGGCAGGCACTGGGGATTTAAGTACAAAGAATGAAGGAATCCCTAGTCATAAGGTATTTACATTCTAACAGGGAAGAGAAGTCAATATATAAGTGTAAAGAGAATAAAAACAAATAGATACAAGGTAGTTTGGGAAGGGAAAGAGAAAAGATAAAGAGGGGGCATGGGGACATTAGCAGTTGGGGGAAGGAGAAATAGGAAAGACTTCATGCAGAAGGTGGTAAGTCAGCTGTGTCTTGAAGGAAGAGAAGGATTTTATAAGGCAGAAAAGTGAGGTGGGAGTACATTCCAGGCACAAGGGACAACCACAGTGAAGACACTGAGATGAGAAATGGAGTATTACGTGTGAGGAACACAGAGGCTAAGTTTGGCTGAACTTGCAGCACTACCGGAGGGAAGGAGGGTGCAACATACAGTAACGGGGAAAGACAGTTTGGGGACAGGTTATAATGAGCTTTAAAAGCTGAACAGAAGTTTGTATTTTGTCCTAGAGCAAACAGCGATCCACTGGAATCGACTGAGTAAGGAAGTAATATAATGAGATCCACACTTAAGGAAAATCACTTTGGTATCACTGTGTAGGATGGACTGGAATGGAAACAGACTTGAGAGAGAGAGACCAATTAAGAGGCTGTTACAATATTAGGCAAAAAATGATAAGGACCTGAACTAAGGTGTGGTTATGTGAGTAAAGAGAAAGGGTCAAGTGCAAGAGATGATGTAGTAGAGATAAAAAATAGCCAGACTTGGCAAATGATTATATATGCAGGTGAGGATGAATGAGTAGTTCAGGATAATACAATGGATAATTCGTTTAAATGAGTTCACATATCCTATGTTAGAGACCCTGCTCTAAAGGAATTGACAAAGTATAAAGTACCAGATTTATTACCTTCCTTCCCCTCTGTTTGCTCTTGCATATGTTTCTCAAGCATCTGATAGATAGAAAACCAGTGTTTGGTGGATTTTTCTGTGTGTCGTTTCATGGTGTTATCTAGACTCATGGACCAGCAGCTGAAACATGAGAAAAGAGACCCATGCTGGCAGTTAGGAAACATATTTTGGATTATATAACCAATAGCTACAATGCTCTTTCCCAACTGAATATATGTGGGAGAAATCCCAGATCTGTTGGGAGATTCAAATTAGTTTATACAAAATTGACAATATGGCAAAACCCATGCACAGTATATGAAACACCAATTTCAAAATGCAATAGTCTCCTTGGAAAAATCCTACTTAAAAAACTGCAGAATCATAAGGTCCATTTGTGAGTGTACAATAAAACATAGATAATATATCACCTTTTAAAACTAAGCAAACATGCACACATGGATCTCTAGGTATTGACTAATGGCCCTAATTCTATTTGAGTCTGACACAACTGGTTAGGGCATTGGGAGGGTGAGTAACGGGGGAGAAAACTGGGAGGTAGACATTAATACCACTTACTTAAGCTCCAATTTACGCCACTGGATGATTAGATGACTGACCAAATCGAGGTGTTTACGTAAGGACAGAGATCGGCTAGCATTCTCTTCCCAATCCTAAAGGAAACAAAAGTACCTCTTCATCAGCTAAGTGATTTTTTGATAGGAGAATGTAAGCCCAAAACGGTCATTTCTCCTTTGATTGGTTCCTTCCCTAATGTATTGACTATCTTTTGTCATTCCCTTGTACAAAGAGGGATAGTTGCTAATAAGCACAGCTTTGAAGCTGCTATTCCACTATAGTGGTGATGAATTTGCACTGATCTTACCTACCTACAGTCTTCAACTTGTCGTTTAAAAAAATTTAGCACACATTTATGGAAATGGCCAGCTGGGGACTGATGAAGTCTGTGGTTATGGAACAATGGTGCTAAATAAGCCATGGAGAAAGGGGCCTACACAGGCCAATGTGCTAACCAACTGAGCCTTAATGTATGTTTATAAATTCCAAGTGAATTTAAATTCTCTTAACAGGCTGTGCTCTCTTTTCTGAGTCAATCAACAATGAAGTCTTAAAGAAGCAAAAGCTTTGCTTAGCTGAAGTCAAATGAAGAACAGCTGGGAAAGAGTAATGAGCTTGGAGAAAAAAGAGCTGAGTCCAAGACCTGGCTCCAGCACTCACTAACAGTATGACTTTGGACAAATCACTTAATCTTTTGGGGCTTTGATCTTCTCATCTATAAAAGAGTGGAATTATTTAACCTCTATAAAGTCCTACTCCAGTGCATCATATCATGGCAAAACCAAGATGACTTTGGGTTTCAAAGGCTATGCCAGTATAACACAAGCCCTAGAAGGTTATTAATAATAATTAGCAATGTTTTCTACACATCATTAAACACAAGTATATAATAATTATGTTATGTATAATTAATAATTATGTTATAAATTATTAATACCAATAAATAAGTAGCAATTAACTTGGCTTCAGAGTCAGAGACATGTTCCAAGTTCTACATCTGACACACACTAGCTAGGTGACCCTAGGCAAGTCACTTTAACTCTGAGTACCCCTCACAATTCTCTAAGTTTGTAAGTTGCAGAACAGTTACTGATCTAAATTGATGGAAGGGGTTAACTCCTGGGGAGTTCCCTGTGTCAACCACAGGGAAATCACAGTTCTGATCCTGCCCACCTGTGCCAACTCCACCCCCTCACCCTGAAAAAAACACCTTACTAATGTAACCACCTTACCTGTGACTTTGCCAAAAGAATCTCTAAGCCATTCAGAAACTTTGACAGGGGACTAGAGAGTGGGAAGCTTCGGATTCTGTCCATCACAACCATAAGCTAGAGAAAGAAGAAAACATTAAGTCTCAGACAGTGATCATCAGCACACTCTTCCGCCCATACTTGACAACATACTTAGGAGAACCTGAAATCAAAGCACCATCTGTTTCCTGCTTTAAAAATAAGCTGTCCCATGCATTAAAACCACCAAGGAATAGAAGAACTAGAAGGAGTCAAGTGAAGACAACAGGCTAGCCCTGACTGAGCTGGGCACATTCTGCTCTGCTCTGGAATCCTGAACAAAGGGATATGATTAATTGCATCAAGTCTCCTATTGGAATACCATTAAAGTCAGCTAAAGAATCACAAAGTTACATTGGTATTATCTTGAAAAAAGGTTTTATTCTGATAGGCTTGAGGAAAAATATAGGGCATGTGTGAATGTGTGTATATGCGCTGACGGGCAGAATGAGCTGGCAGCACTGAGACACTTGAAGTGCCTTTTGAGACTTATTTCACAACATTCCCACTCAAGCACTCTATTCCAGACAAATCAGACTAGTTGGCATTTCATACTTTCCCACCTCTATATCTTTTCTCCAACTATTCCTTATGGAACACCCGTAAGACGTTACCTCTTTTCCAGTTGTTGAAATTTTACCTCATCCTTCAAGGCCTAATTCAAATGCCACCTCCCACATGAAAGTTTTTCTGATACCCCCAGGAGGAAAGATCTCTCCTCTATTAGATTTTATGCCATAGTTCTCTTAAACACTTACCATATTCAAATATTTATATTTACCCTGCCAGATTGTAAGCTTTTACATGGCAGGCACAAATGTTGTATTTATCTTTGGAATTCAAGCAGTAAAATTACATGTGGAGAAGAACATGGTCAGACCTATGCTTTAGTGAAAAATCACTTTGACAGCTGTGTGGAGAATGGACTGAAGTGAAAAGAGACTTGAGGCAGGGAGGACAAGTAGGAAGCTATTATAATACTCTAGGGAGGAGTTGATGGGTACCAGAAATAGGTGGTGACTATGAGTAGAGAGGAGACCTATGCCAGAGAAGTCAAGGTCAGACAAAAAATAGTTAGCAACTAATTAAATATAAGAATTGAGGATAACAGCAAGATGGTGAACCTGGGTGACTGTGGATTGATGCTCTCAATAATAATATAGAAGTTCAGAAAGGAGAGGAGGAAAAGAGGGAGGGGAGGAAGAGAGGGAGGGGAGGAAGAGAGGGAGGGGAG